CTTAGCTAGAAAAGGAAAACATGTTTCTTTGAAGTACTTAATATTTAACTGAGTCTGTTTCTACGAGAGCTGTACGAAATATTGTTCCGAACCGGCACAGCCGCATCCATCAAGATATCATCAATAATGAGAGACTGACCCGACGTAGTAGAAACCTCAACCAACTGAGCGCCTCTTACTGATCAGCAACATATATATGCCCTAAAGAAGCGCAGTTGTCTTCTTTAATGCGATGTCTTCTTCATATCGTCACAAAAATATCATAGCCCAGTGCATAGATTGCTTACAAAACGCGCATACGCCCCGTCAGCCAAACAATTCTTTTCATTCGAATTTTCTCTCTTTCATTTCGTTTCGTTTGCTTAAGTGTTTTTTTTTTTGTTATTGTTGTTGTTGTTATTGTTATTTATGTTGTTGTACTTGTCTTTGTTGTTTTTCCTTTTCAATGCTGCTTTCGTTTGAGTGTCAGCCTGTGTATTTGTTTAGTCTTGCTCGACAAGCATTTATTTGTTTTAATTCTTATTTATTTATTTTTTATACTCATTTTTTTTATTTTTTAACAATTATCACTCACAGCTGTCATAAGTCAAAACCTTATCGAGAATCGGGAATATATATGGATATAGATGTGTTTATAATGAGCGCAACACGTTCTCAGCAGCACGTTTTACACTTGTGTTTACCTAAGAAGTTAGCTCGATTAATTCCATTAGACTTTACTTTGAATTGTCGAGAGTTTCTACATCTTAGAGGCAGAGCTTGTTTTTGGCTTGATACCTTCGGATCCTATACAAATGATCCTATATCTTTAAATTTATAAATATTCATACATTTGCCATATGTATACATAATATAATAAAACCACATAGAACCACATAGATGAACTGCTTGAGGAGTTTGCGGGTTCAAATTCAACTATTTAAAAAGATAGGCTAACAGTTTATAAATGTGTTTATAAATTTTGTTAATAATAAACTAAACTTTCTATGTTTGGACTTCTTTAAATTGGAATACTTCTCTCTCTCCCCCTCTCTCTCTCTCTCCATCTCCCTCCCTCTCCCTCTGCAGCTTGATCGATTATCTAGCAACTGAGAAGCGGGCTGCATTCAAGCATGCCCATATGAATTTCCCACAAATGCGATTTAGTATTCCGTTTGCTAATTTACATTGAATTCTGCATGAAGAATATGTATTTATATATGTTTTGCTCGACTCTTTCAATTGCATAATTTGCATGCACGTGTAAAAGTTAGCACGACAACAAAATGCAATAAAAATAGAAAATATAACTAGCCCATTTTCCGCATAAATCCCATCGCATCTAATGATAATCGTGTGTAATTTAGTATAGTATCTGCAATTAATCTTGCGCTGCTGCTGCTGCTGCTGCAATTAGTCATTAATTAAAAACAGAAGCAAGTGCAACCAAATGCCAAAGGCGTGGAATTTTGCACTGACTTGTTCAGTGGCAGAGTCGGGTAAAAAGTTCATGAATATGACGTAGGTGTTTTAAGTTCTGTAACAGCGGCCATTAGTCACATATACAATATTTATATATATGGGGTTTGATTACAAATGCATTTGTGGGGAAACCTGTCACGTGCCCAGCTCTTTATAATTCATCTATCTTATACCAAATGCGGTACTTTTTGTGTCCAGTATTTGCTTAAGCTGCTTCCAATTCTACAATTGTTAAGCGATTCATGAAGAGATCGTGTTTTCCTCCAGTTACTGACCCCTAAAATGGGCGCAAAACACGTTTTTTCCTTCTGTTTATATTTTATATATATTATTCTCTCTGATCTGGCAGATCTCTAGCTTGCGCTCTCTCCCTCTCTCTATATCTCTGGGCAAAAAACATTTTCTTTAATTCATTTTATGCATAATTCATTGAGCTTTGCGCCTCATTGCGCCGCGTCATGTGTAAATCGCGCGACGCTCGCGCCAATAGATATATATATATATATATATATTATTATTATATATATATATATATAAACTATATATTTGTATATTCCCCGGACTCTGTAATTTCCCACAAACAGCGCTCCAATAATTAACTGGAAGATTTCATAGCTACTGACTCTGACTAGACATAGACATCGACAATTGCAGTTTAGGGGATAGCTAAATGAATAATTATAATTGTGATAAACCACAAAATGTATGAGTTTTCAATAAACGTATTGCAGCAAATCGTGAAATTCTATTCTTATTATAGTACGATAATAATGACATCAAATACTTATTTTAGCAGGATCATTATCAGTTCTATTTAAGAAAGGTAAAATGTTTTTTTTTTTGTTTTGGGTGAAAAGTGGGGCTTGCCAAAAAAAAAAAAAAAACTGTAATATGTAGTCACAATTTTAATATTGTCTGGAATACGTGAACTACATAGGCAATATTTATAGTTTTATATTTAAATAGAGTTTTTTAATGCTGTATTATTATTTTTTAAATGGTCACAATTTTTTTTGGGGGGGGAAATCCTTTGGGCACTTACCTATTTATTGTTGTTTTGGTATCACTGATATCCAGTCAGGATCAGTTTTCTATTCTTGGTATCATATTTCTTGCTATTCACCGAAGCACTTTGAACACAGTTTGGGGGCTTTCTTCGAAATATTATTTATATCTATGTAATGTTCGCTTTCCTAAGATCCTCGTCCGTTCGCAGCGAGCATAAAACGGATACTGATCGCAATACCGTTTCGCTGGTTTTCTTCACACTTCACTCAAAAGTGCCAAAAGCCAAGCTCTAGTAGTTTCTACACACGCACGAGCACAATGTCGCCAACTGGCAGCCTAAGAAATCTATATATATATATATATGATAATAACTGTATGTATATATATTGAGCAAATATTTATGTTAATAAACAGCGAATTAAAAGAACTGCGAACTGCGAAAACAGCGCGCTTATTTGCTTTTAGAATTTAGCGCTTGTTGCGAAATGAAAACCGTTTTTGAAACTGAACTCAACTCGCGGACTGAGGTCGCGCGCCAAGCAAAAAACAAAAACAAAACGGGTGAAAAAAAAAAAAACAAACCTAGACAATCGGCAATCAACGATCGACGCCGATTAGCGATGGGCGATTGCACGAACGGTTAACCGATGACGCAGTCGCCGATAACAAAGCGACGGCTTTCTGGTCACACGTAAGAACAAACAGAAGAAGAAGAAGCAGCGGCACGGCAATCGGGTAAGCGGGTAACGAGCGTGGAAATTTTTGTTTATTGCACGCAGCGCATGTTCCATCAATTTGCACATTTTCGCGGGAATTCGCTTAGTTACAATTAGTTTAACTAATCTACTTTATTGATTATCTTTACCATATTAACCGGTTCGGTTCGGTTTGCCTCTTCTTCTCCTTATTTGCCATTTATTCGGGTATCCTTTTGTTTGCGCGCAAAAAAACAATCATATGATGCCTTTGATTAACATTTAATAACTAATTTACGAATTAAGCTAAACTCGTTTTTGGCAAAAAAAAAGTGTCACGTTTATTTTGCACGAGCTCCTGACGGTCAGCATTTGTGACGTTCGACTTTTAATCGTGTGCAAACAGCTCCTTAAACTGGGAAAATAACATGACATAACCACAATAGGCAAATATCGTTCATATTCAAATGAAATCCAGCAGATGTGTATCTCGGAAACTCGCAAATATAACACTGAAGATGATTTACATATTCTTTTGCATAGCCGAGTTACATTTAAGCAACTTTCTTATTTTAGCTGCTATGGATAGTGGATCAGACTTAACTCAACTTTTGTAGGTTATGTAGATAGTTAGGGGATTTTTTTTTGGCAAATTTCAATTTGTTTTTATGCATATATCACACTTTTGGTTAAGGTTTAACCGTGACTTAAATTTGGCTAGTCATTAGCACAGCTTTTAATGAATCTTTAATTACGTATGTCTAACTCAACTCTTGTAGGTTATGTAGAAATTGTGTCTCTATACGAACAGTTTATAATTAAAACAAATATAACATTTAATGTTTTATTTAATTACTTTAACAAAATTTAAGCACAGCTCCACATACAAATTAAAGCAACACATTTGAGAATAATTCGTTTTATAGGATATGTAGGGCCACCCGAGTTTTCCTAGAATCGTTATTTCGGGTTGTTCCTTTTAAAATAAATGCCATTTCTGATGTTTGTATTCGTTTTGATTATACATACTTCGAGTACAGATACAGCTATCAAATTGATGCTAATTACTTGTGACGATTATTTTGTCAACTGGTCGGGGCGACAATACAACAAAGCCATGCGTAAATAAAGGCAACAGTTGGGCCGTTGGGAATTGCGAATTGGCTGGAAGGGGTCGCTGGGTGGGGGAGTTGATATAATGCGTTTAGCCTTGTTATTGAACTCGTCTTGCGACTGATTTTTGCCTGTTGCCAGCGATGTTTTTCGCAGCTTCAAACTAAGTGAGACCTATTAAATGCGTCACAATAAAACGAAAATCAACAAAACAGGTGACAAAAAAATTGCCGAAAAAAAAGAGTTTGCTTTCCATGTATGCATACCAATACTTTTTTATTTGCCACTGTTGCTAATTAAATTAATTTGTTTTGTGTTTATTTACATTTGAAATTTACCATATTTTTGCTATTTGCATGTGCATTTCACATATCATTATGTATGTAAGTCAGCCTAAATGGAATATGAATCCTGATTCGAGAAATAATAAATATGATACATAAATTATATCAATAATAACTCAATTTATGTTACGCTTATTATTGCGAAGTTTTCTCATATTATGGCGCTGTAAAATGCAAATTAAACACTTTAAAAACGCTTTGGACACGGTTCTTAATAGAGGAGAATAGAGAAAATAGAGAATATGGGTTGAACCAGCGACCCGCTCGATTTGTGGAGAATAGAGAAAAAAGAGATTAAGTGATAAACCAGCGAACCATTTCGTTTTGTGGTTCCTGGTTCCAGCACATGGTGAAACAAATTAATTTGTTAAAAACAAAGTACATTGAAAATTGTTCGTTTTTACTGCTAATAATGTAAATATTTGAAGGTATTTTATAAAGATAATGGTTCGGTTCTTTGGTTCGGTTCGTGTTCTGGTTCGCGTAACCGGTTCGGTTGAAAATCAGTTGCTTATTAACTTTTGACTTTAATAAATTTGGCAGTCGGTTTTGATGTGGACTGGTCACAGCCATTGGAGCTGCCTGCCTGGGCACCAGGATGCGGCAGTGGCAATTCTAGCATGAACATCCTTTGGGCGATCCTGTCAAGCTTCCTGTTGACCCCTGAAAGTATTTTGAATGTTAGGTTAATTCGAGAACTGAAAAGCGCACTAACTTTTATAGTTCGGATTCCGCATTAAGGTGCTCTGCCTGTATGGCTTTTTTATTCTGTATGGCGGTGGCTTTTTTGTCGTAACTTTCCCATTGCCTGGTTTAATGGCACGTCCATCTTCATTGAAGTTCAGTTCGTTTTCATTATATTTGTCTGTGCCTTCATGTGAGGATTTATCAGCATCCGCTTCAATGTCCAACGTTTCTAGACTTGAGGCCCCAAACCTTTCGGATACATCGCTATCCAAGTCGCGTTTTTGGCCTTTGGGCATTTTGCCCGGCACAGGAATCATGCAACGTATCTGGGCGTGCAACGTGGGCGCACTTATCACGATAAATAAAAGAACGGACAACAGCGTTCCACTCATGTTAGATATTAAGCAAGAAGTGGTGTGTTTTTCTAGTTTTAGATATAGCATTTGAGTGCATCGCATTCGCTTTGGATTGATTCAATTAATTTGAAACAAAGCATGCCTAACAAGTAACAGGCTCTTGTCGGAAGTTCCCGACTAGGGCATACCCTTTATATATTTATATTTAGCTACTATTCAAGAAGCTATGTTAAATTGGCTATAAAAACCGATTAAATCGACTTTAATCGATTGCTTAAAAAGAGAGAAACTTATCAATTGTCGTGCTCCGCGAGCTCGTACAGGTTCTGAGATTCATGCATACATACGCACAGATGGACATAGCTATCTGATCAAGAATATATATATATATAATTTTTGGATTCGGAGATGTTTTCTTCTGCCTGCTACATACATTTGCAAAGCACACTGCACCCTTTTTAGAGTATAAAAACGTGTTCAGCAGCAATTAAGTAATAACTGCCCAGTTGCTGTAGTAATTCAAAAATGTTTTGCATGCTGATATATTTTATTTATTGAAATAAATTTATTTACTAAAATTTTCTTATGAAACACAGGAAGTTTGAATGTGTAACAGTCAGCTGTAGCAGTCAGCTTTTTGACATGGACACACACACAAGCATTTATCAGTTATCGACAAGCCTCCACATTCTAGGCATTGTTGTGGCATAATTGTAGATTTTATGTGCGGTCATACTTAAGTTATTCGCGTCTAATTTTCGTAAAAATTTGTGAAGTTTTCCGAAATTTGTTAAATAAATTAAATAGAGTGGATAATTAGAAATGCCGCCCACTATAAACAATTCGGCAGTCAATAGCGCAGCCGAGAAGCGGCCGCAACGGCAAACGGAACGCAAGTAAGTATCATATATTAAATGAAGCATCATCCACGCGGAACTTACCTGTGTTTGCATGCCTTACCCAGATCCGAGATAATTTGCCGCGTCAAATATGGCAATAATTTGCCGGATATACCCTTCGATCTGAAGTTCCTGCAGTATCCCTTCGATGGCAATCGTTTTGTGCAGTATAATCCCACGTCGCTCGAGCGCAATTTTAAATACGATGTGTTGACTGAACATGATTTGGGCGTCACAGTAGATCTGATTAATCGGGAGCTGTACCAGGCGGATCCTATGTCACAATTGGATCCGGCCGATGAAAAACTGCTCGAGGAGGAGACGCTAACGCCCACAGATTCAGTGCGCTCGCGCCAGCATTCGCGAACCGTGTCCTGGCTGCGCAAATCCGAATATATATCCACGGAGCAAACACGCTTCCAGCCGCAGAATCTGGAGAATATCGAAGCCAAGGTGGGCTACAATGTTAAGAAGTCGCTGCGTGAGGAAACGCTCTATCTGGATCGCGATGCACAGATCAAGGCCATCGAGAAGACGTTCAGCGATACGAAGAACGATATTACCAAGCACTACTCCAAGCCAAATGTGGTTCCCGTCGAGGTGTTGCCCATATTCCCCGACTTCACCAATTGGAAATATCCGTGTGCGCAGGTCATTTTCGATAGTGATCCGGCGCCACAGGGCAAAAATGTGCCCGCACAGCTGGAGGAGATGTCGCAGGCCATGATTCGTGGTGTGATGGACGAGAGCGGTGAACAGTTTGTTGCCTACTTTCTGCCCACAGAGCCAACGCTGGAGAAGCGTCGCATCGATTTTGTGGCCGGCGAGCTTTACAAAGACGACGAGGAATATGAATATAAAATTGCGCGCGAATACAACTGGAATGTCAAGACAAAAGCATCCAAGGGTTACGAGGAGAACTACTTCTTTGTCATGCGGCAAGATGGCATATACTACAACGAGCTGGAGACCCGTGTGCGGCTCAACAAGCGACGCGTCAAGGTCGGACAGCAGCCCAACAACACAAAATTGGTGCGTTCATATTAAATATTTATCTCAATTATTAGCTAATCTTATAGAGATTGTGCCCTGCAGGTGGTTAAGCATCGACCGCTGGACGCCATGGAGCATCGCATGCAACGCTATCGTGAACGCCAGCTGGAGGTGCCCGGCGAAGAGGAGGAGGAGGAGGAAGATGATGAAATGGAAGCTGTTGTTCAGCAAACGCAGCAAGAAACTGGGCAGGAACAACAAGCAACAGCGGAGAATTCAGACAACTCCAAGACACCAGTTGATGTTAATGTTGCCGCTGCTGCTGTTGGCTCCACTCCTGCACCGGATGCACAGCAGCAACGTGAGCGACAATCACGGTCAAGAACGCACTCCGGAGGCACACGTTCGCGCACCCGCAGCCGCAGCGTTGGCAGTGGCAGTGCAGCCAGCGGTTCGCGCAGTCGCAGCCGTTCCAGCTCAGCCAGCGGCTCTGGTTCACGTGCTAGCAGTCGTTCCAAGTCGGGCACACGTTCACCCAGCGGCTCACGATCACGTTCACGTTCCCAGACGCCAGCCGGCTCCCACAAGTCGCGCAGTCACACGCCCTCCAAATCTAAATCTATATCAAAGTCACGCAGTCGCAGTCGCAGTCGCAGTGCATCCGGCTCGCGTTCTGGCTCCGGCTCACGCTCACCCAGCCGTTCGCGGAGTGGCACGCCCAGCGGCTCTGGCTCTAGCTCTGGCAGCGGCACCGAGGAGGAGTAAAACGTAACACAAATAGAAACATTTGCAACCTGTAATATTAAGAGCAAAATACACAACAAAATTTTACACAAAAGACAAACAAACAGATATTTGGAACTTCCTCAACTATGTGGCGTCCATTAGGAAATGACGAAAGAGCTCACCATCCGAGCTGCTGGGCTGTTCCGCCTGCTGCGGCGAATATAGGCGCAAATTCTGCAGCTGCTGCAGCGGCGAGTTGCTGCCATCGAAGTGCACGTTGCTGTCCATGATCACCGGCTGTGGCTGCTGCGGCGGCTCCACGCTGCAAATGCCCAGCTTCTGGCAGCTCTCGACCACAATGTCATCAATGCTTTGCGAGAGCAACGCCTCCTGATCCCCGCCATTCATCTGAATGGCCGCATTACTAGCCACATGCTCTGTCTGCACATGGCCCACTGTCACATTGGAGGACTCCAGCAGCGCCTTGATCAATTGCTCTGGTGTCTGTGGCTCGTCCTCAGTATTAGCAGCGCATTTATGTGTGCGCAACGAGACCTTGTAGCGAAATGTCTTCTGACAGTGCTCGCATTTGTAGGGCATGACTCCAGTATGAATGCGTGTGTGTACCAGAAAGGAGACTCGTTGCCGAAAACATTTACCTGTGCGTGTAGAGACATTTTTGGGGTGAGCTAGAGAACTCGTTAATTATCAGATACCCTACAAGTAATTCCTAAATTAACCCGACTATTGCAAAAGTTGCCAGGCACTTTATCTGCATTGAAAGTGTTCCTACTGGGCAACAGAGCAGTGAAAAGCATTTTAATCAGCCTGGTTAAGACGTGCCGAATAAACAGCATTTATCCTCATGGTAGCTGCCATGAACTTTGCAGTGAACCTGAGAAAAGGGGCCTAACTACAAGTTCCGTGCGTCTGTTTTCTTGCTCCTTGATAAAGATATCGGACTACCAGATTAAATAAGTTAAAATAAAGCACTGTACCCAAACAAATGGGTATCATTTACGAGAAGATACTTCAGATATATATATAATACTATATCGGAAGTAGCGAGTATATACAATGAGTCTATCTAGATTGGAAAAGGTGTTTTCTTTGCCAACTAGTTTGTCCTGACCTGGGCAAATCAAACATAGTCTGTTTTTTTTTTTATTGAGCGTCGAACGAACGAGTGGAAAGTCGCTGGTTCAAATTGCAATAGATAGCATGTATAAGTATATACATTGAGTCAATCTGAATAGGAACAGATGTTTTCTTTCTATGTAACTTAGACATAGTAAATTTTTTGACTGAGCGTCGGACCAGCTAGTGAAAAGTCACTGGTTCAAATTAAGCATCAATTATTTTATTTGTTAACTAATTCCTACTAATACATACCGCACACCTCACACTTGAAGGGCTTCTCTCCGCTGTGGATGCGCTGGTGGTTGTGCAGGGTGGACAGTTCCTTGAAGGCGCGTCCACAGATGCTGCAGCCATGCGGCTTCACCTCGCTATGGTAGAGTAAATGCTTGTGATAGGATTGCTGGAAGGTGAAGGTGCGTGCGCAGTACTGGCACGTGTACGGCATTTCGCCCGTGTGCAGCCGCTTGTGCTTCTTCAGGAAATACTTGGTGGTAAACATCTTGGTGCACACATCGCACTCCCAGTTCTTGGGCGTGCTGCCGTACTCTGAGCCCGGTGCCGCATCCGTCGCAGCTCCCGGCAGCTCCTGCTTGAGCATGCAAATGGCTCCGCTCAATGCGTACGGCTGGCTGTTGGTGCACCCAGTGGAGGAGGCGCCGCTGCTGGCGGACGCCTCCTTGTGCCGGATGCGATCGCAAATGCTGATTTTGGGCGTGGCACTGATGCAGTTGCTCGCATTGTTCTGGCTGCCGTTGCAGCTGTTGCCGTTCCCGTTACCGTTGCTATTGCCGTTGCTGCTGCTGCTGCTTCCGAGCGTTGCTCCCACCGTGTGCAGGACCTTGAGATGGACACGCAGCGAGCCCTTCATGCGAAACGTCTTGGAGCACAGATGACACTTGTAGGGCTCCTGCTGTGGCTGCTGCGGCCGCTGCTCCGTTAGCTCCGCATTCTCGTGCACCAGCCGGATATGTATGTCGCGCAGCTCTTCGTTGCGAAAATTGAACTCGCAGATGTCGCATCTCGCTGGCGGCGTCGCGGGCGCTGGCGGCGGCGGCGGCACAATTGGCGGCGGCTGCTCCAAGGGCTTGGCACGCGACTTCTTGCCACGTCGCTTGGGCACAGCAGCAGCAACAGTCGAAGACGTTGCCGGCGATGCTGGTGAACTGGCTGCAGCAGGGCAAGGGTTAGTTGTGACCAGAGGTGGAAGGGCAGCAGCAGGTTCTGCAGCTGGCGGAGCTGCTGCGCTTGTTTCGTTCTGCTGCATCAGGCTGGTGTGGCTAAACAGATGTATGGTCAGCTTGTCCAAGCCGAGAAACAGCTCCTTGCAATGCGGAAAGGGGCAGGCCAGTGGTCCATTCGCCGCCTTGATCAGACGCTGCTGCAGTGCATCGATGCTATTGAAACTGGGCACCGCGCACAGCGGACACAGCACGGACATGGAGCACATTTCACAAGGTAAAAACTACTGTGAGGAACTTTCCAATACGCGAACAATCCTCAAGCATTGCTGACCGACAAAAACTTGAAAAGATTGTTGTTTTTTTTTTTTTTCCTATTTAGATATTTTCTAAAAATACTTGCAACGAAAATATTGAAAAATTTTTTCTGCCGACCGCGACGACGTTCGTCTAGGCGATGTCGAAAATAATGAAAAATATTGCGCTCCCCAGGCCGACGAGAATTGTAAGAAAAGTCTGAATTTCGAAAAACTACGAACTGTGCCGAAAACTAGCCCGTAGACAGCTGTCTGCTGCTGCTTCTTCTTCAGCATCTTCCTCTCACTTTTTGGCGCACCAAAACCCGCCGCCCAGCTAGTGGGCGTATTTGGTATTGCAGATCGCTTGACTCTTTGTTTTGATCTTGCCATGTAAATGGATCGAAATGGGGCAGCTGCTAGGCCCAAAATGTGACATATTCAATAGATATATTTGGAAATAAATGGGCTACAGCTAAAAGCTTTCGAGGGTATTTTTGGTAATATTTCAGAAAACGCTTGAAAAGTTGATTAAATTGATTAAGAAAAGCATTCCTACATTTTTTTAAAATAATTTTTATATACATTCATACATTAAACCCTTTTTCACTCCTCGAGTTGAAATTTTGGACAGTAAAAGGGCATTCTTGGTAATATTTCAGAAAATTTTAGATGACAGCCAAAGATTTTACTTCTACATGGAAAATATTATCCACCTTTCAGTTTTTCAATTATTTTTCAACTTCAGGTATTTAGATTTGCCGAAATTGGTTAAAAAAGAGTTCCTACGTTCTTTTAAAAGGATCTTAATATATTTTCGTATGTTAAATATAAATTTAACCGTTTTTCACCCATTTTTCACTCTTCGAGATGGAATTCTGGACATATTCTTTAGATATAATGGGAAATAAATGGGCGACAGCCAAAAGGGTATTTAAAGGGCATTCTTGGTAAGCAATTGTCATATGATTTTAAAGATGTTAACTTTAATATTTCAGAAAATGGTTGAAAAGTTTCACAGACAGCCGAAGATGTTATTCAACAAAGCAAGTATTATGCACCTTATTAAATATTATCCGACTTCAGGGATTTGTATTTTTCCATAACTGAATTAAGAAAAAATGGTAAATGTATGCCCTTGCTGAAGTTATTCAATCAAATCACATTTACACGTTTCTCACCCATTTTTCACTGTTGAGGATGGAAATCGCAAATCAATCGAACTAGTCGGGCAACAAAAATGCCGAATTAATAATTCATTTGCTGCTCGCTTAACATTTAATGATCGAATTAGTAAAGTTAATCTAGTTGACAATAGCATATTTATCAGCATATAATCTGGGCGCCCAGGCTTTCAGGTTTCATTAGGAAGGGTATCTAGCGGCTGGTTTGTGCAGACAGCTCACTCAGTCAAGGGTATGCGCTGGCTGTGCACTCTCCAACGCTATTTATAATCAAGTATACCTACATACTATATGCATATATATATATATATATATATATATTTATCGGATATCTGCTGCTCTCTCTGGTTTCTTGTTGATATTTGGTCAGCGCTTTGTGTTGTGCGCTATTTTTATGGTTCTTGTTGTTTTCTTTCTTGCTGCGCGATTTATTCGTGTTTCTGTTTGGTTGTCCGATTTGTAAACAGTTCATTGGCCAAGCACGTGAGGGAAACAAGCAGAAGGAAAACTGGTGGAAAACTATTTCTTCTTTTTGGGCGGAAAGTCCAGGGAGACGACGCTAATGCGCGCCGAGCTGTTCTCCTCCTTGCCCAGGCTCAGCTCCGAGGTGGAGGAGCGTGCGCTGTAACCTATTTTTGGGAGGTAAATATTAGATAACACTCTCTCTCTCTCTCTCTCTCTCTCTCTCTCTTTCTCTCACTCCACCCACCTTTGACTGAGTAGCAATCCAGCGAGGAGTAGGAGGTTGTCCTGGAGGACACACAACTGCGTGTGGGCTTCAAATGCTGCGGCAGCTTCAGTCCCTTGCTCAACATATAGTTTATTATCTGAGGTCCGTCCACGTCACTGTTGGCCATATCTGACAATAGGTTTAAGGCCTTTCGGTTGCGATTCTCCAGCTCCTGCAGATTGAGATCGCGCTCGAACAGCGCGAGGTATTCGGTGCTAATGGACTTCTGTTTGATTTCCTTCATTAGCGAATGAATCTCGCGATTGGCTCTTTCGATTTTCGATTTTTGATCCAGCAGCTCTTTGTTAAGTTTATCCAAAGCGTCCGCATCTTCTGAGCATTTCTGCTTCTCCATTTCGATTTGCTTGATCAGCTCCTCCAGCGAACGTTTCTGATCCTCGATCTTATTGTCGTGCAACTCCGCCTTGCAGCGCAGCACCTTCAGCTTATCCAGATCGCTGCAGTAGATCTCCTGCTGTTTCTTAAGCTCCTCCTCGGCACGCTGTTCATCTGGGGGAACAAAAAATTGTTGAACTTATGACTGACTCAATGACTAACTGATTGACTGATTGATGATTAACCCAGAGCCCAAGCTGCAAGCACTAGGCAAATAACTAAAAAGCCCGAATTAGACCGAGTTTCGGAAGCGTTTTTATGCATATTTTTAAAAACCTCTTATTTCGAAAAATACACCTATTACGAGTGAAAAATATGCGCTATAGTATAGTATAATAATAGTAGCAAAATAGGCGTAAAGCCCTTGTAGTGAAAGATCATTTCAAATAAAATCTGCAATACTTGTTTCCATCCACGTTTACGCGCGGAAAATAGGCGGAAAACTTGTTCAATGGAAGTTTTTGCATGTCTTCTGATTCATATCTTAGGTCTGTTAAAACAGAAGACATGTTTAGCTTAGGGTTTCATCGACAACTGGAAACACAATATCTAATATAAAATGCAATGGCAAATTTGTTTTCCGGCCAAAGGCGAAGGGAATACTCACCCCTTGAGTTGTCCTCGTAGGTTTTTAGGTTCTTGCGGTAGTTGTCGTTGGATTTATCAAACTGACGCAGTGTATTCTCCAGGGCGACGACCTCCTTCTCGGCCTTGAGCACCTTCTTGTTGAGCGAATCACCCTCGTCGGCGAGCAGCTGTCGCTCCTGGGCATTCTCCACCTTCAGCTGGGTGGCCGTGATCAATGTGCCGTCCTCGTTGACGCCCAGCAGGGCGGATGTCAGCTCGAAGCGGGCGCGCATGGCGGAAATGTGTTTCTTGCGCTCGCCGAGATCAGCGCGCAGGGTGCTCAGCTCCTCGTTAAGATGTTTGCGCTTGAGCAGCAGCACATCCTGCTGGCTCTTCAGCTCGACAAAGCGATCCTTGATGATGCGCTGGAATGCCAGGCGATGCTGATTCAGACTGTATGTGCCCTTCTCGCAATTGTCGATCACATTCTGGAGATCACAGCAGCGCATCTTGAGCAGACTTAGCTCCACGACAAACTCGGAGTTGTCGTAGCGATTCATGCGCAGCCGTTTGATAGTGCCCTCGCAGTAGACCTGCGCCTCCTTGATCTTGAACTTGACCAGCTCCAGATCCTTGGCATCGTTGTTGTAGACAATCACCAGAGCGTTCATGCTATAGTTGAGTTTCTTGTTCTGCGCCTCCGTCGAGCTCAAGCGACGCTGCAGCTTGGCCAGATAATGTTCCAGTTCGGTGAGCAACAGTTGATTGCGCGCCTCCGTCTCGGGATCCGCGTTCTTGCCACGCAAATCGGCCAGACGACGCTCGCCCTGCAGATACTTGAAGGACATTTCATAGTATATTTCCGTCTGGCGTTTCAGCTCCTGCCCCACCTGCCGCTGGCTGCGATTGACCGCCAGCAATGTGGAATGCAGCGCCGCGCTCTGCACTATGAAGGTCTTCTGCTCATCTTTAAGGTCGTTAATCTGGCGCTGGGCGCGATAAAGCAGCTCGTTGCAGCGCTGCTGCTCCTTGTTTAGCAAATTGAGCGCCTCCTGCTCGCCCTCCATCATCTCGTCCAGTATTTGGAGCCGCTGATTGGCATCGGTGTGCTTGTCCTCGATCGACTTGAGGCGATCCTCCACCTGCTTCAGCGTCTGGGCAAAGTTCTCAATCTCAGTGTTCTTGTCGTCGCGTTGCTTGAGCAGCTTGCGATTCTCCAGGCGCTGCGAATGCACCATGTTGGACAGATTCTCGAGCTCGTGACGCAGGGCCAGAATCTCGCGCTCCTTGAGCAGCGACGCATCTATCAGGCGCTGTATTTCATTTTTCGCCTCCGAGGTCTCCGTATTCAGCATTTCGATGCCCTGCTCCACCATGCGATTGTTCTCCAGAACATCGTTCAGCTGCTCGTTCGCATTTCGATAGCCGGTGGCCATGGCCTCCGCTTCCTCTATAAGCTGGGCGCACTCCGTCTCACTATTCTGTATCTCCAATTCGCGCTGTGTCATTTGATTGACCGCCTGCTTCCAGGTCTCCACCATCTGGCGGCGCTCCAGATGCGCCTCCCTATACAGGCAGGCGGTGCGCTCCAGATTCTTCTCCAGCGTGTTCTGCTCATCGTAGAGCTGAACGACCAGCTTGCGCCGCTTATCGATGTCCGCCTGCAGCTGCTGGCGGCGCGTGTTCAGCTCCCGTGCCCGCTGCTGATCGTCTTGGTAGTATCGATCGATCAGCTGGTAGCCCTTGTTTCCATCCTCCATGGCCTCGGCCCAGTCGACCAGGCTCGACTTGGCCGTCTTAATGCGCTTCGTCAGATCATCAATTTCTCGCTTGTTTTTCGTGATTTTACCTGCAATTCAATTTTAAATATGAAACCTTAAAAGCCGAGCGAATGGATCAGCCGTAGGTTGACCATCCACTGTATGCCAAATGTGTCAAAAATATTCTTGGGGATCGGACCATGTCTTGCCATAACATTTATCTAGACCCCTGAGGCTTGGCGGGGAGATAGACAGGAACAAATGATTACTAATAGGAATTGAATTCCCCTTGGATTAACCGCCTTTGGAGCCATGGGGTCTTCACTAGCATCAAGACAATCACATAATTGTGGGGAATGCACACTGCCTTGAAAAACTATACGGAAGGGTGAGACTCGCTAACTTAAAGGGGTACAGACTCGGATACGGAATAAAGGATCCTAGACCAGGGATGGTCAGGAAAACTGAACGGAGGCACAAAAGACCCGAAAGGCCCGAAATGACAGCATCAGCATCATTGATTGACTCACGTAGTGTGTGCTCCGCATATTCCGTGTACTCGGCCAGTTCCTTTTGATTTTTTCGCACATCCTCCTTCAGCTTGTTGCGCTCCAATATGACCAGCTGTGTTCGATGCGCCTCCTTCAGGACATCGTTCTTCACCGAGTTGAAGAATGTCTGTGGTCGGGATCAACTTTGGATTAATTTGCAGGCCCCAACTCGTCCCTGTCTTACTCACAATGTTCTGCTGAAGCGTGGCCTCAATATTCCGCTTGTGCCGCTCGATCGCCTTGTCGCGCTCATCCAGGGCCACGATTCGCTGCTGCAGATTGAACTTCTCAGCGCGCATGCCAACCATCTGCTGGAGTATGGCCAGATTCTCCTCATTGGCCATGGGTATGTCGGCCTCCACGGTCCAGCCCATGGAGCGCATCGCCTCCAGCTTGAACTCGTCGAGCGAGCTGCTCTTCATGTCGTCCGTTTTATTCACGCCGTCGTTGCCCATTCTGGTACATCAGGTATATCAGGCTGGATATACTGTATGTATATTTATATATATTTGTACAACATCCAGCTCTGATTTTATGGATTTGAAGTTCACATTCGACAAAAAAAACTGCCTGATTCCCTATGGCAACCGGCTTGTTCAGTTGCCCGAGCAACGCCCGTTGTTTACGCTTGCCAGGCGGCATTTTCCAAGCCAAGGGAGGGTCGCTTTGACTATAAAAGGAAATTTAAGCAATCTAGTTGCGCGAATCACACTACCAGATACCCTGTAACCTACTTCTATTCATGGCAACACGAGTAATCATTCTCAAATAACTTTTTTTTATAGACATGCCTAAAGATGTAATTCAAATCAATCCTTTAACGATTTTAAAGCTATATATATATATATACATATTTTACATACATTTATGTGGAACTCAGGACACTACAAACAAGTGATGACTGGTTCAAACCCAGCAACAATTTTCTAATGATATCGAATAGCATGAATTTTGTTATATGCTATTAAAATCCTCCACAAAATAAAGATCTCAAAGCTATATATTTCTTCTTTTTTTTTTCATATTTGCGAGACAGGCGACAGCAAACGAATGATCGCTGGTTCAAACCCAGCAATAGTTTTCAAATGACATTTTTTAGTTGTTTTTTTTATGAATAATCTTGTTTATTATCGGATCGCCTGGATGATTTATTATATATTAAAATCCTCGGCAAACTTGCATAGACCAGGATAGTTGAGATTCATGCCCGTTTGGCAGCCTTCGCCCACCGGGCCACTCACGTAGACTGGCTGGCCAGCGACATTGTTCACGGCATAGTTGCAGACGAGTAGAAACTGGTTGAGGCCATTCTTGAAGAAGCGGGACGCAGCACAGCCCAAGGCGATATTCTGCTGCTGCGCCATCAGGGCGAAGCGTTCAATGGAACTGTGGAAGAGGAGAGCGGGTTTAGCTGAAGCAGTTTCTATTGGAGCTGACAGCATCTGGTACTCACTCTCCGCTCCAGTTGCTGGGATAACTATCGATGACTGCCATGTCGGCATTGTCGCGCTCCTGCCACCAGTTGGTGACGGCCTGCTTCAGCAGATACTGATCCGTTCGAGCGCCCGCCTCACCCTCGTAGCCGAAGAGCGCTATATTCTGGCCGCTGTTGCGGAATCGGTCCGTATTGTGGCAGGCATCCCGCTGGCGCACACACTGCTTCACATTCAGCTCCGCCAGGCTGGCCAGCTCATCGTTCCAGCGCATAAGCGCCATTCTCCGCGCCGAGCTATAGCCAGATAGTTCGCCCAGTGCCAGGCGATTGCGTCGAGCATTGTGGGCCGCCACCAGTAATTCGCGCAGCTCCTGGCTCATGTCGATGATGTAGGGCGCGGGACTGGTTGGGCAACTCGCAGACCAGGCCTGCAAAAAGACAAGGAGTTCGTAGGTCTTCGTAGACTGCCAATACTTGCCCGATGGCTGCACTTACTCCGCTGTTCTGGCAGGCGATGTGCGTGCTGCCGCCGCTGCACAGACCCTGCTGGCAGTAGTTGGACTGGCCGAGGGCCAAGGTCAACGTGAGGCTAAGCACAAACAATCGCAACATGTCGCAAAGAACTAACTTATCCAAGATCCAAGGTCTAGGGCTTATATAGTCCCAACACATATTTGAGTTCAACAAGAACTTATTGAACTTTGATAGTCAAACTGTAATTAGATAAAGCGTGGGAACATCTGTGTTTGTTTGCCGGGGTATTCCACACATCTGTAACTTAGCCAAGCTAGAGTAAACGTCTTTGTATTTACTTAAATTCGATCTAGTATTTTACCATTTCAAATGTTACATACATATGTGGAATCCTAAAGCACGTCAAGGGGTACCTTGAACTGGTGTATATTGTGGTTATGTTAACGTTTGCCCGAAATCGATAAATACCGATTTTGTAAATTTGATTTTGTATTATCAGTAATTGCCGTCTTAAAATCGATTAATATAAAAAATAAAAGTGGGACACTTTCCATTCGCAATAAAATGTTTTTAATATTCACAATTGCCACCGTCGGGCTTAAGAGCGATAAATATCGATTTCAAACTCCGATTGATCGATTTTATGAGCACATCTCAGATTTTGTAGCTTGGTTGCAACTAATTAAGCTCGGCTACAGGGTATCCTTCAGTCGGGCAGGTGATATATAAACGTTATTGCTATTAGCTCAGATCTTACATAGAATCCCAACTAATACCAATTTTTGCTAGATCTGTTTTTTTGAGGACCCATCTGGCACTTGTTCAAACAATTGACAAAGTAAATAATAAAAGAAATTTATAAACATTTTAATTGTAATATGTTTTCGTTTTTTTCTTCATCTTTTCTATGCTTGTTTTTTTAACTTTTGTTTATTTATTATAATTGTAAATCATTAAAATGTGGCACAATAATCGGCTTGTCTTAAGTTATCGTTTCCTTCACTTTCTTCGCAGCTGGAGACCGTGAACCCGCTGGACCTGCAGCTGACCAGGAGACCGCAAGGCTTATAGAATCTTAGGGTCAAGAGCATGGAGGCCTTTAAAGGAGATGGACGAGCATTGCGTTGAATCATACAGGACGGTTTCATGCCTGAGCTGCAAGTCATCAGCTAGGGTCTGTTGCTGATCTTACTAACTAACGTCACCGCCGACCCTTGACGAGCAAGGAGTTGCATAAGGATTCTTTGCAAAGTTCGTTGCATACCCGCTCGGGGCCTCCTCGCGGGCCGCAAGGAAATTGGCCTTAAACCCACAAAATCGATTATATCTTCCAAACTAGCTGGACGATTTTGATGTCCTTTGGCCAGTTGGTAGCCCTGGTCCATAGAAATCGCCAGGACACGCAAGGATACTGCGGAGTTACACCGACATTTGTGTTTAAAAAAGTCCTTATATCTCAGCTGTTTGAAGGACTTTCGCACTTTGGACTTTGCTAATTCATAATTTGGAGGATGAGCACTATCAACTGACCAAAGGACATCCCGATAGTCCTTCAAATGGCGAAGTAAGTCCTGAAATTTGCGATTTTCCGACGAACACTCTTGTCGATATTGAAGAAAAATTGTTGATCGAATCCTGGAAATTCTTGAATGCCAATCGATAGTCATGTTCTTTGATCTTTGAGAATATAGCCGTAATATGGCCACAAAAATAATGTCCAGTTTATAAAAATTGTCATATCTCGGAAACTACAAGGACGATTTTAATGTCATTTGGACAGTTCATAGGGCTGGTACGTAACAGTTGTTTGACACAGGAGTTGTCAGGATCCGTAAGGATATGGCCACGTTACAGCCTTATCGTTCTACAGACAAAATGCCTTATAGCTTGGCTCCTTCCTTGGTTCCTTATCACATTTTGGATTGGCAGGACAAGGTATCTGTTGGCTAAAGGACATCATGATCGACCTTGAAACGTTCAAGTCACGAAGAATTTGGAAATTAATATCATTTTTGGATTTATACCCATAACATAAAGAATACGGATTCTATCATATATTTTGTTTTTATTTCACGTTTTATTTGCTTGCTTTTGTTGATTTCATTGTTAAAGAGCAATTGTTGTTGTTGCTGTAACTATTTTGTAATGTTTATATGATAATTTAATGCTAGCTTTTTGTTTTTATAACTTGACGCGGTAATCCTTAATATTTGTATAATTATTATAATTGTAAATCATTATTATTATTATGATCAGTACTGCAAAAGTTGATAAATCGCTTAATATGCTCAATTATATATATGTGTGTGAATATGTGTGTGTGTGTGCATATCGACTTTATGTTGATATATATATTTATATATATATATATCGACTTTGTAATTCGATTTATTTATGTTGTTTGAACAAACTCAAGAATCGTATATGCGTGTGTGCTTTTAAATACAATACAATTACAATTACAGTTATTCAATATATATTTGATTTATTTATACGTATGTTTATATAGATATCGTTTATATAATGTGAACTCTAAACGCTAGCGAGCTCCCAGTTCTTCCTGGGCTTTCCTTTCCAATTGCTGCTCGTTTTGCCCTTTCTCTCTCCGGCTTTGTTGGCTATTTCATTCAAGTTGACACAGCTTGCAGATGAATTGCTTTAGCGCGCCTTTTTAGATACATTAGTGTATGTTCTTTAAACTTTATAATTATAATTATGCATATTTCTATATATATATTATATATAAATGTATTATTCATAAATTTAAATTTCAAGGGTGGGCGTTCTTTTTATTATTTATACGTTTATTTTGCTTTGAATTCATTTCGTTTCTACATATGTATATATAAGTTTTGAGGGGAAATCAAACTAAATTGCCGCATTATCAGATTGCCACAGTGATATATAGCATATATATGTGTATGTATAGCATAAATAAGCGTTTCCATTTGAATGCTTATAGAGAATATACACATAAAATAAAAACATTCGAAGCGCCCGCAACATAACAAAAACTTAATAGCATAATTTGGATTGATTAATTCAAAAATTTGAACAAAACCGATATCCAAATTTTTTCAAACTAAACAAATTAAGATGGAAAACGAAACAAAAATTCGATTTTCCATTTTTCTTGTTTGCGAACAACAATTTGTTTCGTTTTCTTGCAATTTATGCGCTTTACTAATTAATTTATTTAATAGCATTTTAATTGTTGGCCTTTTTGTTTAGTCTGTTTAGTGGATGTGGATGTGTGTGTGTGTGTGTGTATGTGCGTGTGTGAATGCAACCACTTGTGCAGAGGGGGAAAAAGTGTGTGTGTGTGGGGTTGGGTCGTGGGCGGGTCTGTGGGTGGTTTTAACAACAGGCTGCACACACGCAAAAGTGAGCCAGTGTTTTTTTTTTTGTTACATTTTCTTTGTTTTTTGCAAATTTGAGAATATTACAAAATATATATAATATATATATGATATATCGAAATTTGGCCAATTGTAGAGAGTGTGTGTGTGTGTGTATTTGGGTGTGCGTGTGTGTAAAAGAGAAAGAGAGAAATTGCAGAAGTGCGCAAACATTTGAAGGTCGTTTTTGTTGTTGTTTGGGTCCGGTTGCTGCAGTGTTTCACAGAGATATACTATCATCAGATACTACAGATAGATAGTACTATATATAGAGTGTAATCGTGTGTGTGTGTATATAACGTTTCGTTTAGTTAATATTTGCTTTTGTTGTTCTTTTTAAGACAGATGGAAGGACATGCTGCCCTCGTTGGCAGCCACTTTCAGCTTCTGTCGCATCACATCACGACTGGAGTAGTCCGGCAACTTGAGATAGTTGACACAGGTCATCACAGATGGTAGATAATCATTGGGATTCTGATTCCCATCCAAGGTCTTGCGCACAATGGTCAGCGGCGGGGTCAGCGACTTGAAGCCGCCAGTTGGCAAACGAGGCGAACCTGTCACAAACTGTAGGAACGCTCGCTGCTCATCACGATTGTAGGAGACGAGAATCTCGTATAGAAATTGTATGGCTTGCGATTCCTGATGGAAGCCATGATCGGTGCGGCAGCTGTCCTGCAGCATCTTGAGATCCCAGCGCTGATGCTGTTCGCTGCCGGAGCCGCAAAACACGCACTCCAACTCCTCCGGATAAAACATGCGCAGGCGTTGTATCGGAAAAATGGAGTCAAAGCCTGCAACAAGAGAGATGCAAATATAGAAAAGAGCTTTTGGGTATGTGAATTCGAGATTATATTCATACCCTCGCGCAGCGCCTCGAACTGCTTCTGGACGCCCTCGACGAGGAACCAGTAGGTGACCAGCGAGATGTACTGATGCAAGTTGTGCACCGTAACGGGCGTATCGCGTCCGCCACGACACAGCTCAATATTGGCATGTCCGGGCAATACAAAGTCCAGGCCCAAGTCGGCAATGGGGCAGCCATCCAAATCCAGCTGCTCCATCTGCACAAGACGAAAAAAAATATATGTGTAGTTAATTGCGATTGTTTCCAGAGAATTGACGGATGTTTACCTTTTCCTTTTTCTCCATGGCATCCAGATTGGCATCCGTTTGGATATCCTCGCGTTGGCGTACCACATCTTGTAGACGCACCAGTGTGCTCTGCACCTCGGGCGCCACGCGCATCAAATCGGACAGTCCAATTGAGAGCTCCTCGCTGACCAGCCAGCGATAGAAGGGCAGAGAGAATGGCAAATCCAGCTGAAGGAGCACAAAGTGTATTTTATTATATATTTATATGTGATACTAGAGGGTTAGGCGCCGTGTAAAGCCGGTTGACTTACCATGCGACTGTCCATTACCGCCTTGGCCATAAACTTGCCCAAGAACTTAAACTTGGACTTGGCCTTGGTCATTTGTGGCAGCTTGGAGGATTTGCCCAGCGGCAATGGGAACAGGCCGTGCGCCGTGTGCACATAGCTGATGGTGGATGCAGTCTGTATTGTTGTTGTTGTTGCTGTTACCGTTCCAGCTGCTGTTGTAGTTGTCGTCGTCATCGTCTGCTGCTCGAGCACTTGGGGGGAATTGTTGGCGCCACCCTCAGTGGCGGCCATATCACTAAACTGCTGTGCGATGATCATGTTTAAAGCGTTATCATTCGAGCTGGAGGAGCTGTGCTCCGCCAGCAACTGTTGCTGCTGCTGATGGCGCAGCGCATTGCTGCGACTGCTGCTGCGAGTCAGATGTGCGTTCGTCGTGGTTTGCGAGGCGCTGTTGTTGGTAGTGGTGGTGGTGCTGCTGACGACGGTGGTCAGCACAGCGGTCTCGCTGTTGGGCTCCAGTGCGTCCTCGATGTGCAGCACGGCGCTACTGGACTTAACCACATCTGCAATGTTGGATGAGTTATGGCGATAGCTGTCGCTGCCATTCCACAGGCCCAGATCGGTGCGCTGCAGCTCGGCAGAGACCAGAGCATAGAACTCCAGCGTGGGTCCCAGGCCAGTGCCCACCTGAGAGACAGGGATAGTTAATATAGACGCTCCTATGACAAAGCTGCACCCTTCCCCCACCAACTCACCTCATTCTCGTACTGGATTTCCAGCAACGCCTTGGAGTTACCAAAGTCCTGGAGTATGTGCTCTGCCTGCTTGAGTAGCTCGGCGCGTGAAATGGCCCGTTTGCGTCTGTCCAGACGCGGCGCCACGCGCTCCGACGACTCGGCCGAGTTCAGATCCGGCGTGGTGTCCAGCAGGCGCTGCAATGCACGATCCCGATCAAAACTGGTGGCGTAGAACAGTAAATGGCGCGTTTCAAAGGGGAAGAGGAACGGGCAGGCCATTCCAATCTGTGGCAGCCATTGGGGCAGATTGCCCGTCATGATGACCAACGGATCCTGCAGCTGACGATTCGCCTTGGCCGTGATCTTCGGATGCACAAACTCCGCATTGGCAATGATATTCTGACGCACCACACACCCATAGAGATGCTCCCAGTGGCGATTCAGTGCATAGATGACGCGCAGCATGCACAGCGCATCGAGAGAGGCGTCCTGCACGGTGACCACATCCCCGGGCAAGCTGCTGCACAGGAATGGCTTCAGCGGCGACAGCACCGGCGGCGCAATACCCTCGTGCCACAGTTCCGTCTTCTTACGCATGAATTTGCTGCTCGACTTGTGCGACTTCTTGCCGCCGGCAGCGGCGGCAGTGCCACTCGAGCCGGCCGCCGAATGCGATGAGTTGGAGGAGTTGACGGCGCTGGAGGTGCCGCTGCTGCTGCTGTGAGCCAGCTGCTTGTGGGCCTGACTGCCGCTGCTGCTGCTGCAAGAGCTGTTGGCACCAGAACCGCCGGCGGCAAGCAGCTCCTCCTCGACGGGACGATAGTAGATGGTGTGCTGCTGAACCCAAATGCTGCTGTTGCCTGCGAATTTGGATGAGTATCAGCAATTGTTGCCATATCCTTTATTATTTCCTACCCCCCCGCTGCACACTTACCTAACAGCATCTCGGACTCGTTGTCCGTCTCGTGCTGCTCGTTTACCAGCGGCGAGAACTGTTTAACCGCCTGGTAGACGGTCATGTTGTAGGGCAGCACATGCTCGCCAATAAGAAACTGTAGCTTGTGCTTGAAGCCAGACTGGGTCATCACGACGGCGGCGACATTATCGTCCATATCCTCCTCGCTGTCATCATCCGAGTCGGCACGTATTCCGCCATATCCGCGCACTACCAGATACCGTTCGATGGCCTGGACCATAGCCAGGGGATCGATTTTGACGGTGCCGCCTTTCCATTGACGCAGATTGCTGCACTGCGGATGACGTTGCAGATTGCACTGGAGCAGATACAGAACACAACTTAGTAGGTGAGGATAAGCTCCGGATTAACTAGCAACTCACCTTCAGCTGATGCGTATTGAAGAAGCGTAGCGCGCTCTGATTGGTGCGCCCGCCGGGTCCGGCCTGGAAGTCGTGCACCTTGACCGGAAACTGTTCCAGCTGAGTGACGCAGCCATTCAACTTGGCTACAAAGGCGCCAAAGGCGAGCGGCTCGATGGCCGGCAGCTGACCCACATTCTGAAGCAACGGCTCCAGCGGCAGCCCGGCAAAGACGTGCATAAAACTGCGCAGACGCGCATCGCGCTCCACCAGACCCGATTCGCTGGTCATGTAGTTGAGCATGGCCTTGATCAGTCCCGAATGATTCACCTCGAACGGTGAGATGTCGCTCTCCAGCAGTATGGTCTTTAGCTCGAGCAGCGCATCCAGACAGTCGTGATAGCTGCCATTGAGCTTGAGCAGAATGCTTGACAGACGTTCCAGGACGCTGGTGCTGGCCAGCGATGTGCTTGCCGAGGCAGCCGATGCTGCGCAGTTGGAGCCACCAGCTCCACCAGCCGCTGCTCCGCCCGCAGCACTGTTGCCGGCCTCGCTTTCGCGTGCCTTGCTGCGGCGCGCTTCCTGCTCCGTGTAGCGTTTGACAAAATCGATGGCCTGTTCGCGCACCCATTGGCGGGCACGTTCCCGATTGGCGGCCGCCATCAGATTGGCATGAGAGATGCTCTTGCTAATGCTGGCCGCCACGGCGGCAGCATTCATGCCTCCGGCACCGGAGCCCGTATAGGTCAGGCCCGAGGCGGAGACGCCGCCAGTCGAGGAGCTGCCACCGACGCCGCTGCTGCTGTTGGTGGTGTTGCTGCCATCTTTGGTAAGTCCGTGGTGTGATCCGGTGGATTGCTGCTGATGATGCGCCGCCTGGCGGCCCCAGCGAGCCGGATTTAGTGAGGCCAGAAATGAAGATTTGGTCGAGGAGCTGCTCGTTGTGTTGTTCGTGTTGCCGGCACTAAAGCGCGATTTGGAATTACTGGAGCCGGTGCCAGAGCCGGTGCCCGAACCGGAGCCAGAGCCAGAGCTGGGCGTGCTGCGACCACCCGTGTTGCTGCCCAGACCTTGCGAAGTGAATGGGAGAGAAATTTAATTGGACTGCGAAAATATGTTGAGAAACGGAACACTTACTCGTGGCACGGCTGAGCAGCTCGTGCATAGCAGAGCTGGCCGAACTGGCGGCCGCAGCTGCTGCGGCGGCATCCTCCTGCCTAGACTTGGCGCGTCCGCTGCTCTGGGATTTGCGCTTCGGTGGTGCCTTGCGCTTCAGCATGTCCGTCATTTTATGCTGCAGCGCCGAGGAGGAGCAATTGTTGCTGTTGTTGTTGTTGGCAGCTGCGGCGCTGGTGGAAGCAACGGCCACAGTCATCTGCTGTTGCTGCGGAGTCTGCTGCTGCTGATAGTTGGTGGCGCCCGGCGCATTGCTGTAGACGATCTGTGTGGGAGGCAACTGTTGCTGCTGCTGCTGTGCTGCAGTGTTGGGCAGCAGGTCGAGCGGCGCAGCTGGTTGCTGGAAATTCAGATACTGACGTGGATCAGCAGTTGCTGTCGCGGCCACAAAGTAGGCAGCGGGCGCAGGCACCGCAGAGCCGGCGGCTCCAGAGGAGCAAGGTGCCGAGCTGCTGTAGTTGTAGCCAGCAGCAGCTCCAGTTGCGTCCAAAGCAGCCGCCTGCTGTTGCTGCTGATGTCCATGTGGCTGGTGGTGCGATGGATGCTGCTGCTTGACCACCGCATTGGCGCTGGCGGTGAGCGCGTTCATGGCATGCGAGAAGCTCTTCACGCTGTACGATTGATGCTTGGAGCTGCTGGGCGTGGCATTGGCGCTGCTGGAGCCGCCGCCGCCGCTGCCACCACCACCACCACCACCACCACCACCACCAGTTGGACCGGCTGAACCGGCGCTCACATTATCCATAAAGAAGGGATTCACCTGCAGGCTGTTCGCCGAGGCGGGCGCGCTTTGTGATCCGCCAGCATTTGCCGTTGGCGTGGCGCTGGTGCTCAGCGGCTTGGGCGACGGATTGGCGCATATGGGATTGCTGGGATCGGTCAGCTGTGTGAACTGATAGATGACGCCCTCGCGACGGAAATGCGTGCCAAACACATCGGGCAGCTGGCGCATCAGAATCTCAGCCATTTGCAGAGCGCCGACTACGATGCGCAAATCATTGCTGCCCAGCATGCCGGCAATATGGCTGGATACCAGCTGATACTTGAGCACCTGGCGTAGCAGCTCCGGTGTCGCATAGTAGACCATGCGCAGCAGGGCGCGCAGGCATTTATAGCGCACATTTGGACCCGCCGACGAGCTGTACACCTCGTACAGCACGTTAAAGATGTGCTTGATGAAATCGGCAGCCAGACCGCGCTCCTCCTTCAGGCAGGCGATCCGGGCGTCCAACGAGGGACGTCGCTTTACCGCCAGATGCGACGAGTTATTATTGTTATTGTTGTTGGTGGGAGTAGCTGCTGCTGCTGAGGATGTGGTTGCCACCCCCGCTGCTGCACCAGTTGTGCTCAGATCCTGACCACCGGCAACTGCTGCTGCGGTGCCTGGTGCCACATAATTGGGATTGAGTTTGCGCTGGACGGGTCTGGTGGTGCCCGTGTCCTCGTTGATCTGTTGCATGGCATGAAAGTCGACTGTATAGGTGCGTCCCAGTGTGCTCAGGCTAATCTCATCCTCGCTGCTCTGGTGCGCTGCCTCAATTAGCCGCGAATCGATTGTCGAATAATTGTGCCAGGCGCCACGATCGTCGCGCCATTGCCACTGCACCTGGTCCTGGGTATTCAGTGTGGGCCGATCTAGTAAAGCGTCCACGGCAAAAATGCCATCCAATGGCAGGCGTGGCATCAACTCGCCAATCAAACAGGTCAGCTCGAGCAGTTCAAGCGGCGGACGTGTCACCAGATCCACATGATTGGCACTGGCCTCTGCCGGCTCCGCATTTCCGGTGAGCAGATAGAGCAGCGTGGAAGCTATATCGTTGCGCAGCAGCGATATGGCCAGATCTGGGCAGGCGGCGCACATAAGGCTCAGCATGCGCACCACATTGGTGAAGGTGCCCGTATTGAGTATGGCCGGCGTCACCACCAGCAGCTGCTGGCAGTTCTTGAGCAGATCGGGGCTGGCGATCTGCTGTAGTCGTTTGCCATCGTGTGGGAAACTCTCGACCAGACGCCAGAAGGCAGTGCAAACGCTGTCCACACACTTTTTGTCCTGCTGCGACAACAGTCGGGCCAGCTGGGGCAGACTTTCCGACACGAAATGAAACTCCTCAGCGTGCATGTTCTGGCAGCAATTGGCCGTAATGGACAAGGCGGCACGCTGCGCCACAATCGAGAAGAAGTCCAAATAGGTCAGGCAGGCGCTGATTCCGTTCGCCTGTAGAATGGCCTTGTTGTGACGGCGCGAGAGTATCTCGAGTGCGGTCAAACTCTGTTCGGCCACGTCCATGCACTGGATAACCTGTAGTTTCTCCAGAAAGACGGGCACCGCCTCTACGACTGTACCGGCGGACCGAGGCAGTGCCTCCAGCATGTAGGCCAGAGCGCGGCAGGCATTGTTCATGATATCGAAATTATGCTCCATGCGCAGCAGCTGGATGAGAGCCGGCACCACCTGCTTGACGGGAAAGCCGGCGAGCGTATCCTCATTGCCCATGACCAGCATTTGACACATCTCGATGGCCGCCTGCAGCTGCTGGGATTCATCGTGCGACTGCAGACCCTGCAGCAGCTGATTCGCCTTTGAGGTGCTGCTGTTGCCAATGGTCCGATGCAGGATGTGGGTCATGCGTGGCCCCAACGCCCCAAATAGATGCGGCGGCAGGCCGCGTGCCTCCAGCAGCGCCTGCAGTCGTCCCACCTCGCTGTCATCGCTTTCCGAATCCGCTGCCGCTGCAGCTGCAGCAGCAGCAGCTGCGGCCGCAGCATTCACAGCAGCAGCAGCACCTGTTGTGGCAGCCGTCGCGCCTGTTGCTGTTGCCGATTGGGCAGCGGCGGATGCAGCAGCTGCTGCTGCTGTCGAGGATGTTGTTGTTGTTACATTGTTGCTGCTGCCGCTGGCTGTGGCAATGTTGCCGCTGCCGCCGCCGCCAGCGCTGCTGCTGCTGTTGGCGCCCACTGCGCTGCTAACGTTGACGTTGACTGCGGAGTCGCGTGCGGCGCTCAATGCGGCTGCGACAATGCTGAGATTGGCCGAATTAGTGCCTGTGTTCGAGCGAGAGAGAGAGAGAGAGAAAAGAGAGAGACGAAAAAATTGTAATTAACATAAATTGTCGCTGCTGCTGTTGGTGTTAAAGAGGAAACTACTCAAAATGTAAACGTACAGACAAACAAAGTTAGATTGAGAAAGGGAGAGGGAGAAGTAAATAGAAAACAAAAATTTAACATAAAAAAAATGTTAGAACTAACATAGTGCTATTTATCAATGGTTAACAGAGTCTTGGCAAACAAAAAATATACGATCAATTTTTAACAGCAGTCAACTGTTAACCGGAGTCACCCTGTGTGCCGTGTGTGTGTGTGTATGTGAGAATTGTAAATTAGGAAATCAAATAAATGTGTGTGAGTGTGTGTGTAAGTTTTTTTGTGTGTATAGGTTAGAATTCGCGTGTTCTTGTTGTTGTATGGCTGAGTTTTTACCTGACGTCAATTGCTGTCCACCTGCATGCGGCGGTCCATTTGGCGCTTGATGTTGTTGTTGCTGTTGTGCCATCAAACTATATGTTAAAGCATCCGAAGCTGCTGAATTGAAATGTTTTTTTTTTTGGTTTTTTTGTTTAACAGAGCGCGCGAGCGAGAGAAAGAGAGAGAAATGCAAAGAGTTATTAGAACTGCTTTTTCTTCGATTCGATTCGTTTCGTTTGTTTTCTTTTTCTTTTGGCTGGGTGGGTGGTGTGGGGAGTAGGGGCAGACACCGCGAGCAAAGCGACGCGCGCGACGGCAGCAGAGTGGTAGTTAGGGAGGGGCAAGGGTGGGGGGGTCAATGATGCATATGATTTAAAATTGAACTTTCGATTGTGCACAAAACAGTTATCGATGCCCAAACAAAATAATAAGAATGTTCCGTGTTAATAAAAAAAAATAAACTGCTGTTACGATAGTTTTACTTTTTCCTTCTTTCTGTTAACTGGGCGCGACTGTTTTATGCAGTTAAACTAGATTTGCTGCATTGATTGATTGATTGAAAAGCCAACACCAGTTAATAATTTATGCACCAACACAATTCCGAAACACCGTGACCAAGTATATATATACATATATATACAAAAAATACTGTACAAAACGCGGACCACGCCTATACTCTGCCTTAACCTAACCCAAAAGTAGAACGTAAAGTGCTTGCGTGCGTATGTGTGTGGGCTTACAAAAAAAAAATATATAACATATGTAGAGATTGAGAAAAAAAAAAGAATGGAAAACTGTTTCAAGCAAATGTGATTGATTGATTGATTTGATTGAATTATGATGGTCGCAATCGGCGTCCCGCTTTGCTGGCCGCTCCTCCGCTTTTGCCTCGTTCTCCACACTCCGACTCCGAGCTCTTCTCCGTGTCCGTCCACACGACTTACCACTGCTGTGCGTAGCTTTGGGCAGCTGTTGCTGTTGCTGCTGTGGCGGCTGGCTATGATTGCTGCGGTAGCTGAACAGAAAACCAGGCTGAACAATTGTAGCACGCTGTTGTTGTTGTTGCTGGTGTTGCAGCGCCTGCTGATGCAGCTGCTGATGTTGCTGCTGTAGAGCCGCGTGTTGCTGCTGCTGCTGCTGCTGTTGTTGTTGACGCACAGCAACAACCACCGTATTGCCGCCCAATTGCTGATGATGATATTGATAATGGCTTGGCGGCGGCTGTGGCTGTTGTGCAGCAGCAGCAGCAGCAGCTGCGTTGCCGGGCGCAACAACAACAGCTGCTGCCAATGGATGTTGCTGCTGTTGCAGATGATGCTGCTGCTGCTGTTGCTGCTGTGCGGCTGCTGTGGAACTCACACAGGAACCCGTTTTGCCACGTGAACTGCGGCGCAGTGAAGAATGCTGCTGTTGCTGTTGTTGTTGTTGTTGTTGTTGCTGTGCGTAGACCGTGTGTTGCTGCTGTGCAGCCGTTGGTGGCGGCACAAATGTTGCTGCTGTGTAACGTTGCTGCTGATAGATAATGGGCGGCGGCGGCGCTGTGCGTGGCTGTTGCGTCCCTGTGGAGTTATAGTGATGTGGTTGTTGTTGTTGTTGTTGCTGTGGGTGTTGCTGATGCAGATTGAGCACAGCGACAGCAGCAGCTGAACTATGATAATAATGCGGCTGCTGTCGTTGCTGCTGCTGATGATGATGTTGCTGTTGTTGCTGTTGGTGTTGCTGATGGTGTTGGTGTTGTGGATGATGTTGCTGCTGTGCAGCTGTAAAATATGCTGCCGCTTGATAATGTTGCGCTGCTGCTGCTGGCGCTGTTGGCGTCACAAAGGAAGACAAATGAGCAGCAGCAAACTGATGGGCGGGCAGCAACTGTTGCGGATGTGGCAACGTCTGTTGCTGTTGTGCCGGTGCATAGGGCGTTGCCATATGTGTGGCGGCAACTGCTGCTGCTGTTGGTGGCGCGGCCAGCACGCTGTAATCAACAATGCCAACAGCAGTGGCAACAGCGCTATTGCTGCGTGTGCCACGTGCCGCCCCGTGCCCGTGGCCAGGGGGGGCGGCACGCTGATAGCCGGACGTTGTTGTTGTAGTTATTCCAGTTGCTGTTGCTGCTGGTGCTGCTGCTGCTGCTGCTGCAGCAACTGCGGCTGCTGCTGGAGTTGTTGCCGACGCTGTCGGAGGCGCAGCTGATGATGAATATGTTGCCAGCGTGTTTTTGTTCGCTTTGCTGTTGCTGTTGTTGTTCTGAGTTGTTGTTGTTGTTGTTGTATGTTTGTTGCCGCTGCTGTTGTTGCTGCTGCTGCGTTTTGAGTGTGGCGCACCTTTTGTTGCGTCTGTTGTTGTTGTTGCTTTTGTGTTGTGCGTTTGTTGTCGTTGGGCGGCAAGTAGAGAGGGGGGTAGAGTAGTGGGAGACAACAGTTAAACAGCTTTGACTTTTTTTTTGTTTATATTTTGTTATTTTTGCTTGCAGCTACTCTACTACGTTAGTTGTTGTTGTTGTTGTTGCTTTTGGGAAATGGTAAAATGCACAGGCTTATGGATAAGTGGGACAGGTCTGTTGTGTGCTAGAGAAGGGGGGCAGGCGGGTTTGGGACGCTCAGTCGCTGACAATGATGATGTTGCTGCTGCTTCTTGCTGCTGCTGCTGCTGCTGTTGCTGTTGCTGCTGCTGCTGCTCGTCACTAAACTAATTTATTTTGTTGCTGTACGCATGTATGTATGTTTGTTTATAAGAACACACACGCACACAGGCACACACACACACACACGCAAGCTCAAGACACTGCAGCAACATGTTGCTGTTGCTGCTGCTGTTGCTGCTACAGTTGCTGCTGTTCATAAGGCTGTTGCTGCTGTTGCTGCCCCATCGCTTTTCGTTGTTGCTGCACTTTTGTTGTTGCTGCTGCTAATAGCTGTTGTTGTCGTTGTTGTTGTTGTTGTTGGTGGTGGGGGTGCTGCTGCCGCTGCTGCTGCTGTTGCTACTTAAACATTTATCTTTCTTTCTCTGTCTCCCTCACGCTCTTCTGCCCATATTCCTGCCCTGCTCTGCGACGGCGCCACTGCTTGCGCATATATATGCGTTAATTATATATGTCTACATGATATATATAATATACAGTTTTCTTTGCTTGCACAAAAACAACAACATCATCATCATCATCAACAACACAAGGCATCAGCAATGAAATATGTTTTACATATATATGTCTATATTTATATGTATATATGAACATATATGTATAGATATATATATATACAGATATTTATATATACAGTAATATTGTATTCTGGCATTAACACTATTATTTAAATTAAACATCAATAGATAATTTGCAACAACAGCAACGTGCAAAATGAAATATCGATAAAGAAATAAAAACTTTTGCATTTTTCAACACTGTTTTGGCACCCCACAGAAAACGGTAATAAATAAATACAAATAAAATGTGTACACACTGGCCACGTACATCACTTAAAAGTTAATGTGTGATGCATAAATAAGTAATTAAAATAAATTGAATAAAATACAAATAAAATAAATGTGCGGTCGAAATTAATGGGCGTTTTTTTTATCGGAATGTGATTTTGTAGTAGATAAGGAACTGAAAATTAACTGACGGGTGAACAATGGATAGATATATTTACAAATGTTGTTGTATATTTAAATGTAATCCCTGCTTTCTGATAGATGATAGCACAGCACACAGGGGTTTGCAGGGGTGGGGTTGGGTGTGGGTAGTTGGTTATGAGTCGGCAGGCAAAAGTACGCACACCTCAGAGCCTAGATAATTATTATGGCTATAAAATACATTCTTGATCAATCAGCAGTAGTGCGAATATAGCCGTTCCGCCTATATTATTCGATGTAATTTAGTCATCGACTAGATCGGAACGCTTCTTTTTGTCCCTGCAAGGCTTTTCAATACACGGCAAACTGAAGACTTTTTGATTTAATTTTCACAATTCTTCAAATTTTTTCGATCTAAGCAGCGCGACGTAAAAGTTGCAACTGGATTTTGCCAAAGTGCGTTGCCATTGCGAAACATATATACACGTATATATGTGTATATATATAATTTTTTATCAACAAAACAATTATTTTAATACGTATATATGTACATGTGTGTGTGTGTGTAGACTGCATGACGCTGCGCAAAAGGCAGTTGTACAAGAAAATGTTTCAGTTGTTGATAAGAAATTCGCGCACTTGACAAAAAAGCCGAGCACGAAATAACTAATTAATTTTGTATTTTTTAATTTTATGGTGTGGTAACACTGGCCCGTCGTATGTTAATTTGGTGAAAAATATGAGAGAAACAAAGCATTCAGGTTTTAATAGAAAGAGCACAATTTAAAAACATAAAACTACACAAATTTGAACTATATACAAAACGGAAAATGCAAGCGATTCGTAAAGTCAACCAAAGAGCAAAAAAGTTATCTACACAAACAAAATGTACAAAATTTTGGGTAAATATGTTCTAGATATAACACTGGAATTCACCAACAAGATTATATTGCCTATTTGATACCCAACAATAATAAAAACAAAATTAAAATAAAAGAAAACAGAAACTTATCACACAATTTATGAAAACAGATGCTCAACTGTATAAACTTTACGCTGCCAAATATTTTCTTGCCTTACAAGGTTACTTTGGAAGTTTTATAGCGAGGAGCTATTGCTCGTAAACAATTGTTATCGATAACTAAAATTTGCGACGTACAAATGCAAATCGATATATCGCATTTGAAACAAACTAGAACTTTGCCATCAACTGATCAGATCAGTAGGGTGATAAAATTGAGGTTTAAGTATTTCAATCGGACGAATATTAATAAAAACCAATATACCCTCTTTTTACATTTAAACAGAGTATAGCTTGAACCTCTATATTTCTAAGCACTTTCGCATTGCTCTTATATCAATTTTTCTATTTTTTCTCGTTGTAAATTCCAGTTAACATACATATGTACTGACAAATTCGGTTGAATTTTCAATATTTGAATAATTTTGATAATCAGCCGATTTGTGCATTTAAACCCTTCATAAAGCTAATTGTTAAACAAATAACAAACTAATATTTTATAATACAAATTTTAGTTGATTTTAGTCAGATCGTATATATTCGATGGTGTATATATATTCTTTTTTTTTTGATAAGTAACAAAAAACTCACCACCAAGTTCACCAATAATGTGCTCAGCGAATTCACCCTCTGAGAGCTCGTCTTCTTCCTCGTCGAAATCCTCTTCAAGATCGTCGTCCTCCTCGTCGTCGACGTCCTCCTCTTCGCTGAGTTCGTCCTCTTCGGCAACAATTTGGGCGTCCTCCTCGTACGATGAATCCGCCGAGTTGACTATCTCGTAGAAACCCACCTCCTCCTCTTCGGCTTCCACTTCCTCTTCCTGGTCTTGATCTTCGTCTTCGTCCGGCTCCTGTTCCTGCTCCTGCTCGTCGTCCTCGTCCGCAGAGTTGTTCCCGCTGGCGGGCTCAAAGAGCTCGTTTGCAGCGTCTACGTTGTTCGCCTCCCGCTCGTCTTCTGCGGCGCCGGATGTTTGTTGTCGCTGGTCCACCAAGCTGCCGTACGGATGGTCTTTGTGCTCCTCGTGCGCGTCGTCCTCGCCGGCAATTTTGTCCGCTGTGGCGTCAATTCTGGCGAGCAGCTGTTGCTGATAGTTGCGTAAGCTTTTGCGGTACTTTGTGTACTTGTTGCTGCTGTTGCTCTTCTTATCCAGACGCTTCACAGTGACGTTGTTGTTGCTGTTGTTGTTGCTGCTGGACTCGTGACGAGCTGCGTCAATGGCGGCAGCGGCTGCTATAACCGCCGAGCTGCTGGCCTGCAGGCGCGCGTTGCTTGTCTCCGCGAATTTGCCAATCAAATCCTCTTGCTGTTGTTGCTGTTGTGCTCCAGTCGTTGCCGCTGGCTTGGCGCGCGTATGGCTCACCTTGCGCGTCTTGCGGTAATAGTTGAGCAGGTTGCCCCCGCTGCTGCTGTTGCCGCCGCCGCTGCTTGTGCTGCGTGCTGCTGCGCGGGCGGCTGCTGCTCCACGCTGTGGCGTCGCCCCAATCACGTGCTGGCAGCTGCTCTCACTATACTGCTTGTTGTTGCTGCTGCTGCAGTTGTTGCTGCTGCTACTGTTGCTGTTGTGGCGCGCTGCGGCAGCGCTGCTGGTGCTGGGCAGCTCTTCGGGCGTGAGTGTCTTGGAGCGTGTGCGCTGGGCCACACAATCGCCGCCAGAGGTCAGACGCGGCGTATTCTGCTGCGAGGCTTCGGCTGATGCAGTTGCTCCGCCTGCTGGCGAGACGACCTCCCCGACAACGGCTGCGACTGCAACTGCAGCTGCAGCTGCTACTGGTGGAGGCTGTTGTTGTTGTTGCTGCTGCTGCAACTGCTGCTGCTGCACGCGACGCTTCTTCAGCGGCGAATTGAGCTCTACGTACTGATCTCCACCGGGCGCAGCTGTAAAGGACATGATGAGCTTTAGTTGCGAGTGTGTGCGTATGTTTTATTTTTGGTTTTGGGGCTTGAAGTTGGGGGGTGGGTGATTGATGGGTGAGGGGGGGTGAAAAACTTGCTTATAAATTTGACGATTCGAGAAACCAAAAAAAAAACTTGGCAAAATTGTTTCTAGTCTTTTTTAGTTTAGAATATTTTTGATTTTTTGAAGGGTGTGGCGCTGCTGCTGCTGATGACCTTTTCAATTTTGACAAACAAAATAGTATGCTCTACCGAGAAGCAATAACATTTCTCTATCTCTCTCTCTCTCTCCCGCTCTCTCTCTCTCTCGATTCCTACGAATTTGGATTTTCAGCACAGACTCACAAGGGTTTCAACTTTTTAAGCACAGATGAGTAGTTCGCGATAAATGCACAACTTAGTATCGATTGGTAATAAGCACGACTAACTATAGACTATCGATAAATATGAAATAAAGTCCAACTTTTCAAAATTATACTGGTAACTCTTAAATATAATTGAACACTTAGTTTTCTATCGATACAACAAGTTGATTGTTGCCAACTGTACTATCCAAATATAGTTTATATAGCACGTATTGTTAAGCAGTAAGAGATAACAAATATGTTACTTTTAGGATTAATCGCGCCTATCGATGGCTTGGATTTTTATCGAACCAATTGGAATATAAGTTATAGTAGATTAAATCTATTAATGACTTTTTGACTTTTGCTTTCGACACGTTTACTTACATTGGCTGTTGTTGCGATGTTGCTGGTTGTTGTTGCTGTGGTTGTTGCTGTTGTTGCACTGTTGTTGTTGTTGCTGTTGATGCTGACGCTTCCGACTGCCTGGCGATAAGGACAAATCGTTGGCGTTGTTGTTTGACGAGTTGGCGGTGTTAATGGATGAACGCGAGCTGGTTACGCCCCCAAATGTTGTGGAGCGTCGAGGAACGTCAGCGATAGTTGTCGATTTCTTGATGTTCTTGCTGTTGCTGCTGCTTGTTGTTGTTGTTGTTGTTGTATTTGTAGTTGCTGATGTGAGGCTGCGACCCTTGCTGCGCGAACGACGTGCGGGGCCGACGACTACGGTGGATGTAGATGTGGTAGCAGCAGCAGTTGTTGCCGCTGCTATATTTCGTTTCTTGTTGATGTTATTATAGCTTTTGCTATTGTTATTATTATTGTTATAGCTATTGTAACGCCTGTGCGTATTGGCTGCGGCTGTATTTATTGCTGTAGCTATTGCAGTTGTTGTTGCTGTTGTTGTTGTTGTTGTTGTTGTTTTACTACCGTCGTGCTGCCCCTCCGTCAATGCAGAGAGCGTTTGACTTTTAACGGACTCGGCCATAGACGACACTTAACCGCACTGGCATCGAGCACACTTAACATGCCAACTTCACGGAGAATTGTTTGCAATTATAATTTGTCTTAAATCTAAAATGTTTTGCTAAATATTAAGTAAACCACACTTTTCTGTTTGCTTTGTTGTTGATCGAGTGCTGCGCCAAGTATAGCAGAACGCCTTGGTAAAATTTGTTATAGATCTATAATATTATTGGTTGGTTGATTTTCATACACTTTTCACAGTTTTGAGGACTTTGTTTTGTCGAGTTCTGCTTGGTGCGCGGCGTTAACAGTTTATTGCGGGCAGAGCTGAGGAGTTTTGTGCTGTAATTGTAAAAATAATAGAAAGCACACAAATTATTTAGTAAATTTGAAGTAGACAAGTTTTTTTTATTATTATCTATTTTCTCTGCTTTGTATTTTCTGTCGCTTACACACAAAGCGATAACAGTTGTGTTTCGTGGCAATCGATAAATGTTTTATGTTGCCAACTTGGCGAAAAAAAAAAAAACAAAGCGCGGCGAATTTGAACGCTGAATGCATGGATAGTCAGAGGAGAATTAACGGAAAAGATCATAGGGGTTGTGTGTGTGTGCGTGTGTGTACAAGCAGGCTTAAATAAGGAACCGGCCGCTGTCACCAAGGGTAGTCAGAGATTTGCTGCCCCTTTCAGACAGGTACACGCAAGGCAGCAGGAATGGAAATTGATAAGCAGCCAGCAGCTAGCAGCACAAAAGAATACACCACCATCAAGAGCGACACACACACACACACACCTTAGCAATAACACACTCACTCACTCGCACGGACTGACGCAGTTGAGCACATTTGAACAACATATGTGCGCAGTAAACACACACAAATATGTAAATAAATTAACAGCTGTTTGCAGCAGCAGAAGCAGCAGTCACCAACACGTGCATATGCCCAAGCAAGAGAGACTGAGTGAGCGAGCGCGCATACGATTGTGAGCGACTTGTTTTGAGTGAAAACTGTTTACAGCACACTCACTCGCACACACACACAACCACACAGCACACGAACTTACATAAAGTAAGCGCGCACATGCTGCGCTGTTAATCAGCTGTTCTCGGCCGTTTTGTTTATATTTTGGTTTTCGTAAGCAGCGCTGCGCTGCGCTGTTGGCTGACTGCCCCTTCTTCCTATGTATGTGCGAGCGAGCGAGCAAGCAGGCAACGAGTTCCGACTCGTTTGTGTGACTTGTCATGCTTGTTTCGCTGCAAGAACGCAGTGCACGATCCCGCAAATACATACGCGCGCACACTAACACACGCATACATACGTATAACAATACAATAAGCACACGCGACGAACAAAAAATAAAAGCAAAACAACCAAAAGGCAATTGTAGCAGCAGCAGCAAAACGTGTTGGCGGCGGCAGCGACGTCAACAGCGCCCTTTGCAACGCCAGCAGCGACGTCGCGTCATCTTCGATACACTATAGAAAATAAATGCGTAGTTCATGCGATGCGTGTGCGCCCTCATATTTAACCGTTACATTGCCAGCAACTCAAATCTGGCATGAAACCCAACAAACCCAACAACTGTCAATCAAAAACAAAAAAAAATCAAATTCAGTTCAAGGCCGCTTTAAATGAAACCAGCAACGCAGTCAACGTCGACATGAAAATTTGTTTGAATTTTGGTTTTTTCTTATCTTTTTTTTCGCCAGTTTTGTCTATCTTGCAACCACAAGTTTTTCACACCAAAAAACAACAGACACGAAAAAATGTGCGAGGCCGCAAATGGCAGCGCCGTCATGTATGTATATATATATATATATATATATATATATATGTGTGTATGCATGTGTGCGTGCGCTGCGAGCATTTTCCTTGCGTGTGGCAACTCAAACATATGGCATGTGGTTGTTTGTCAATGCTGCTGCTTTATCTATCAGCAGCAATTGAAAAATGTAAAGGGCCTCGAGTTGTACATTGTAATTATGTACAACCTATATATAAATACACATACAGTAAAAGCTCTATGAACAGACAGCTCGTTTAGAGGAGCCTTCACTGTACTTTCGTATATTATAGAGAACATTTAAGCCATGTGCACTGTAATTACCTTTTGTCAACCCTGATGGCAAGCATAATTGATAAGAATTCTTTCCCACTTACTATATAGCTTTTTCCATACCCCCAACCCCCACCAACAGCTACCCCTTACTTTATCTAGTGCGTATTGTTCGTAACTTATTTGTATAAATACACACACACACACACTGCTGTAAACTCAGTCGAGCATATGATGCCAGTAAACATAACGGACGGTTAACAGTGTTGCCCCATCAAGTTTTGTTATTTATTTATTCATTTTGTATTTCTTGCTGCTTTTCTATTTTCTATTACGAAACTGCTTTTGTGGCCTACGCACAGCTGAGCAGCAGCAGCCGCAGCAGCGCTCGCCGAGTGTGCGAGCGAGAGCACAAGCTACGAAAGTGGGGTGTGTGTTAGTGAGTTTGTGTGTGTGCAGCAGCAAGCAGCGCTTTCTACAGGGTGGAAGGGGAGACAACACAATAATCAAAGGGCCCATCGTCACTGTGGCAACTTAACCGTAAAGTAAATTGCATTGGAAATTTTTCGTGTCGCGCTGCGACTGCGACGCAACTAAAGCCAGGTTGAAACATTAAAAGAACGCAATAAAGCACTCGAAATATTTGTATGTATGTATGTATTTATATGGCAGCCCTGGTAAGCTAAGTGTATGCAACAATTAAGCAGAAACCTTGCCATTGTTATTGTTGCGGTTGCAAGCAGTGGAAGGTCTGCGGCAAGAGTTGATATTCGAGAAACGCTTGTTAAAAGTTTTAATAAGTTTTGTTGAAATATAAAGAATAACTTGTTGCAAGGCGTAAATATATACATACGTCATTGATGGGCACCAACAAAATGCTATACAATGACAAACGTGCTGTATAAGCATTTGCACACTTACACACAGACACGCACACCCTGTAAACTGTTATACACACAAAGGTTCTCTTTCTAAATATTACAGAGAACCAATAAATTTGCTACATTGCCATAGAGAAAAAGGTTAATACGAGTTTTCTTAAAAGCTACACAAATTTTTATTCAATCTGTGTTTCCCTTATTTACTTTTCCTTTAATTCTCTTTCTTCTTCCTTTGCTGACGACTAACTGTCGATTTCCAGTAAAAAAAAAAAAGAAACGAAAAGGGAGCACGGGCAGCGACGCAGACAGCGTCAGCGACGTCAAAGTTGTCGCTTGCCTCGGCCTGTGCATGACAGAGAACGCACGAGGGGCAAACACATGACGACGTTACACTAACACACACACATGCATACACACAGCCCCAATCTTTTACACACAAAGGCATACACACTCAAGCGTATATACGTATACGTGTGTACATAACGCAAGAAAAGCGAAGCCAAAAGAACTGCTAGAAATAAACGAATGCATAAACATTGATCCAACAAAATTTTTGCATAGTTTTAAACTGCTACGTAATAAGTTATGAATGTACCTATTTTTTTATTATATAAATATGTACTGCACCTTAGCTATACATTATGTACTTGCACACAGGTATATAAAAAAAATAACGTTTGCACGAACCATTTTTCAGCTGTGCACGCACTCAAAGCCAACTCACGACTGACGATGGCATCAGCAACGACAACGTCAATGGCGACCCCGTGTGAACGAAACGAAACTAGTGAGCGAGCGAGCGAATGAGCGCAAAATGAGTGAGAGTGAGTGCGTCAGGCAAGAATACATTGAAAGCATATATACACACATACAGATAATATACGTTAAATACAATATTCTTTATATAGCGTTATTTATCAAGTTGAATAAATTGCAATATTAAAGACAATTTAATATCAATATCTAATTTAAATAGATGAGACAACTGAACCAGTTCACACCAGGCAACAAAAGCACTCAGCAGGCCGTTAAGCAGGTCACTCAACCCTTGTCGCTAAATGGCAATGAGGTCAACAAACCGACTCAACCGCTGAACTAAAGTACTTTTCTTTGCACTTTATAAAAACGCTTTTCTAGCAATATATGAAGTTGATTTATTTTAAATAAATGAAGAAAATATTACAAGAGAAATAAAAAGCATTTTCTTCACTACCAACGAAATTTATTTTCACTCAAAATGGCTGCGACTGAGTAGAGAGCGTAGAAGCGCTCTCTGGTGCTTTGGGGGTTGAATGTGACTCGCTACTCGCTGAAATTGTTTCCCTTTACCTGTGACTGCGCCCGTTAGAGTGAAATTTGTATTGACCTGATCAGCTGATCGAGAGAGTATTTGTGTATGTATATGTGTGCGAGCATTATTCTTGGGTTACACAAACAGCTGTTTATTGCAGTTTAACACACGCACTCACACAAATACACAATACGTTTAACTTGTGACTAATCTTCTAATAGGGTCTCTGGCTAGTGACCCGCCTACACAAACACACACAGACTAGTTTTTTTTTTTTTTTAAATACGTAATAAAAATAGCAGCCACGTAGGGCACTCACTCAGCCAGATAGGGACTGATATAATGACAGCCACTTGTTAATTCGAAGATAGATAACATTTCAATGTTTTTTTTTTTTATATATATTGCAGCCATCTCTAAAATGAGGCAGAAGCGTTACGAAAATGGCTGTTGACCTGTGTTCAATTTTGCAGTGAGCGCTATATTGAGCGACCCACGCAGCGCTGTCGACGTCGCTGCTGGCCTACTTGAAAAGCTACTCACCTGCAAATGCAACAACACGCTTGAAATGCAACTGGCTGGCAATTGCAAGTGAGCAAACAGATGAGGTTGAAAAACCAGTAACAAAAAAACAATAAATATGCAAGCGAACAACAACAACAACACAAACACACACTTACATACATACATAACAGGCAATGCAACAGCTCAGCAGAGCGAGTGCTCCGCTCCGCTCAGTCAGCGTTGCCGTTGCCGTTGCTGCTGCCGCTTCGCAGCAAAAAGAGGCCACGGCCTGCGCAGCCAAATTGGGGCGAACAGTAAGCACAGAGAGCACAAATAAAGAAAAAGTAATATAAAAAAACAAACACAAATAAACTTTCGCTTATCGATGATTTGCTTCCGATTTGCATATCGATATATAGCTCACGCGCAAATATGCATATCGATTACAGTTTATTTTCGCTTAATATTAATGTTTATTTTTACCGCTAAATGCAAACAGCTGGCAATATTGAATGTAGGACTACTTGGCTGCGAATATCCAGCTGCAAGCAGATGCAGCGCTCTTTATCGATGCCAATCATGATCTCCTCGTTGGGCAGCTGGAGAGCATTGAAGAACGCGGATGCCTTGCGTGTGTCCACAGAGCAGGACACCTCCAATGCCGCCGCCGCCGCCGTTGCCGACGGCGACTGCGGCTGGTTGACCTTGTGCAACAGCAGGCGACTAAAGCGAGTTGTGATTGTGGCCATTTCGGACTCGGCCACCAGATTTAGTTCGCCTGTGGCGCTGCCATGGAATATGAGACTGGGCGATATGTTCTTTAGCTTGTCTATCAGACTGCGCAGAAGACGCAGCGAGGGCACACCCAGCACAAGCTGTGTGCTCGGCACCTTGGGCAGGACAAACGAGGGCCAATCGCTCGCCGGGACTACGGTGACGGGCACGTCGTGCACCACTTCGCGCGGCTCGGCGGAACTAGGCGACACCACAGTGGCAATCACCGAGATGCAGGGAAATTGTATCTGCTTCAATTTCAACTTGCAGCTGTGCACGCTGCTGCTGGTGCCGGAGCGCAGCACGGCCAAAGCGCGACTTAGATGCATCGCAGACATGACCAGCACTATGAAGTCCTCGTCTGGACGTGCTGGCGTCATTTTGTATTCCGGAAAATAATCTTTGGAACCAATGCTGACCCACACGAGCGGCGATGAGGTCGAGCAATGCTCCTCGTTCACAATGAAATGCATACGCTCCTGCCCCAATATCATGACGCAATCCTTGGCCAGCTTGGCCAACGTCGCGGCAATAGCCTGGAACTCGCGCATATAGAGCACGTCCAACATCTTGGCACGGAACTTCATGGCAGCCAGCGACCAGTTGCTAAGGGACGTGACGTGCGTCGAAAGAACAAGAGAACAAAAGAAAAAAAAAAGAAAAATCAAACGCTGGCTGCCAAAAACAAAACCAAACAACAAGTGGAGGCAAAAAGGATAGCAAACCTACACCGAAGCGAAATACGAATAGCTAACACTCTATTCAGTATTCAACTACGTAACAATTACATAAAATTAGTTATGTTCCTAAAATATATCAAGAAACCTTTTCGATCGATAGGGATTTCCCCTAACTAAAATGAAAATATCATTAAACGAATGTCATAAGCCTGGCAGCAGGAAAAAAAAAATAAAATACAAATGCAGAACGTGACAGACTTGCAACTCGAGACGTCTCCAGGAATAGGACAGAGCACTTGGCCTGGCACCCGAGTTCAATGTACAAAGGCGCACTTATACACAAATAAATACATATACACACACACTCACATACACACATGTACACCTAGCTAACTCAGCCAGGCGATGGGCAGACAAAGCGCAGAGCAAGTTCGAGTTGTGTTTTGGATTTTTGAGGGGGCGAAACAGTGTAGAAAGAGTAAAGCAAATGAAACGCACCAATACCAACGCGTTAACCCTCATACACACACACACACACGCTGTGCATACAAAGCCGCCGTCAGACACACACACACACGTAAACAACAGGATTTTGTTTTTATTCGCTGCACAAAAAAAAGGAAGGCGTCTACACCACCAAATTGCCGCAGTGGAAGCGTATTAAAGGACGGTAGGAGCTCCTCACTCTCGAAAACGGAAATCAAATTATGTATATGCCCCCTGTAAGCGGCGGCGGTGAGGCCAGGCAATTGACTGCTCTGGCGTGTGTTTGGGGTCAAAATATTTTCCTTTTGCAGGTTAATCAACTTTCAAGGTTGAGTTATGCTACACGGCAGCGTTGCCACTTGGTTCATATGATTATGCTATGAATGCATGTTTCTTCATTAATTTATGGCCAAGTCCGATAAGTTCAGTTATCGATATTTCCAGCACTTAAAAATCATTTAAATATGACCTTGGGTTTGGCTATCGCAGGGTTTTCAGTCGTGTTATCCCAATTCATGCACAGCTTTAAATAGTAGAATCTAGATGACGTCACAAGACGCGTATGTATTTCATAAGTATGTGTAGGTATTTAATTCAAATGCCGATCATTGCTTCTGCTGCAGAGCATTACTTGCAAAAATTGAACACGAGTTGCCAATCACCAGAACAAACCTTCAGCGCAACTCAATGCAATGTGACCATAAAAGCTACACAACTACTTACAAACAAACACACACACACACACACGAACGCACATACACAAACGGCGCAGCACAATGCAAACTGAAAGCCATATAAAAAGCTGACAAGAGGCCAAAATTAAATACAAATAAAATAAAATACGGTGCGCATGAAATTCAACGTGACTGCATTGAGGGAGGCACACATCACACACACACGCACATTAAGACGCTGAGCATAAATAAAAGAGAAAGTAAAAACTTAATAAGATGCTGCGCATCGGTCAGAAAAAAAATGAAGCATTCATATAGATTACTAGATTAGGTGCACTACATATACACAGATAATAAGAAATAGAATTGAACAAATGTCTTCATATATACACACACAACACACAGCCAAACACTTGGTAGGGCACCCTACACTAACTGCGCCGATCAGCGTTGCCAACCAAGTTGAGAACGTTGACGAACACATTCCAATTACCCAAATTGTAATATGGAAAACGTATAATATAATTTCTACCAGCTAAAAGATAATAGACATTAAAACTCTGAATGCAATATTGCAGCAGACAACTTTCTTGTCGTTTTAAACCAAAAGCTATTGTAAAAATCAATATCGTTTGCTTTACCTCACACACAGTTTTATCGTTGCACACTCTATAGCACTGGGATTCGGCGTTTTTTGCAAATTCTCATGCACAGGTTGACAAAATGATTTATCAAGTACTTGTTGAAATCAATAAATGCACACGAAACGTTTCCAAAATTGTCTAAAAAGCAATCAAAAATGCAAATGGTCGACATTTTGTTTTCTGTCTGTGTGAGACAGGCCACTCGCTGCTGCTGATTCGACGAAATACACAAATGTGTGTGCGTGTATGTATATGCGATGTGTGTGTGTGTGTGTCTCGTTTGAGTGGCCAGCGGAGCACCAAGGAGCAAAATTTAGCTGAGTGATCGAAATATGTCATGTATACTGCATTTACATAACCGTTTGTGAGACGATAGCTATGCATTAATGTTACACTTACCTTTTGGCTATTTGTTTAGAATGATTTGCACAATTTTCACAGTTTTCTTTTATTAATTTCCACACGTAACAAAACTCCGACTCCGACACTGCTGTCAACAGCACAGGTCACACTGTTCTCGAAAACGGTGTTACCATAAAGCGCAAAGCAAAATATCATTAAGCTGACTGCGAGTAATCGATATATCGAAATAGATAAGTCCACACAATGTGTTGCGATATATAGTTGCACTAGCTGGTAGCAGCAGTTGCAGTTATGCGTGACAATGTCTTCTCTGATTACATATATCGTATCGTTTCGTGTGGTGGAAAACGATAAATTATCATCAACCCTAATTATTGTAACTTGTATTATTTACAAGAAAAAAACAGCCCGCGCACAGCTAAAACATTTGCGTAGTTTAATACCAAATCAAATTCAATTTGTATATAAGCAAACAAAATACTGCATGACATCGTTAAGCACACACATACGCACACACGCACACCCTATTCTACGTGCAAGCAGCGACGCTCCCAATAAGAACGCGCCAACAACAGCAATAAAAAGACAACAACAAGCGGCTTATCAGCAACAGCAGCAGCAACAGCAGCAACGACAGCAACAACAACAGGTAAAGTAGCATTAATTACAATTGTAGAGTCAAACATCAGCAAGCTTAAATTTTGCCTCTCCAGTCAACGATTGTCGCGATCCGCACACAGCACCGTGCGCTGACTAATTTCTGTTGATTCTGTGACGTGTCCCAGTTACCACGATTGCAATGTGCGGCTCACCCAATATAGCTGCCGGCAGCGGCGCACGGGCACTCATCCTGGTGGGCGGCTATGGCACACGACTCCGTCCGCTGACGCTGAGCACACCCAAGCCGTTGGTGGAGTTCGCCAACAAGCCCATTTTGCTGCATCAGCTGGAGGCGCTCGTTGATGCGGGCTGTCGTCAAGTGAGAGTTTCCGCGGCGGCCACAAAAGTTACATAAACAAGTTTCTCTCGAATATAGGTCATATTGGCGGTCAGCTATCGGGCCGAGCAAATGGAGCAGGAACTTAAAGTGGAAGCGGACAAATTGGGCGTCGAGCTAATCTTTTCACATGAAAGCGAACCCCTGGGCACAGCTGGCCCCCTGGCGCTGGCCAAGCCCCTACTGACAGCCAGTGCGGAGCCATTCTTTGTTCTCAACTCGGATGTTATTTGTGATTTCCCGTTCAAGCAGCTAATGCAATTCCATCGCAATCATGGCAAACAAGGCACTATTGTGGTGACCAAAGTCGAGGAGCCCTCCAAATATGGTGTTGTGCTCTACGATGAGCTGGGTTGCATTAGGAATTTCATTGAGAAACCGCAAGAGTTTGTCAGCAACAAAATCAATGCGGGCATTTACATATTCAATCCCACGGTGCTGGACCGCATCGAGGTGAAGCCCACATCCATTGAGAAGGAGGTGTTTCCGGACATGGCGCTGCAGCATGAGCTCTATGCCATGGAACTGAACGGTTTCTGGATGGATATTGGACAACCCAAAGACTTTCTTACCGGTGCGTTCCCTCTGAAACTGAATCATAGTCGTCAGCTATCTTCCGTTTGGCCTTATCAGCTGAACTGCAAAGTGTCTAATCAATTTTTGTGCCCAATACCAACTTTTATCTGATTTCTTGGAAACGGGCGGCAGCCAATGATAGACCAAATGCATGATAGAACGTTTCTAATGAGCTCTATTAGCTGATAAACGGATGCCCCGTGGGGGTGTGTTCAAGGCGGCAAGTTGAGTCGATCTAAAACTGTTTCGAAAACAACAAAATTTAGAGAGTCCAAATATGGAATTTACATGCTCGTATAGTTTGTCATTAACTTCGATATTTCCTTTTATATTTCACGTTGTCCTTCCCAAATTTCCCATTAATAGAACTTATTTGTAAAATCAGAGTCTTGCCCACTTTTTAAATGTCAGACAAAAGTCCTTTAAATTTCATAAATATCGGAGGAGATATATGGAGATTTGTGTTAGCCTAGAACAGGGTATCTTCTAGTCGGGCACTACCGACTATAACACACCTACTTGTTGTATATAATTTCCTTTCTGCTGCAGGCATGTGCCTCTACCTCAGCTCGCTGCGACAGAAGCAATCGACCAAGCTGTACACAGGACCCGGCGTCGTTGGCAATGTGCTGGTCGATCCGTCGGCCAAGATTGGCGAGGGCTGTCGCATCGGACCAAATGTAACCATTGGGCCCGATGTGGTCATCGAGGATGGCGTTTGCATCAAGCGTTCGACCATACTAAAATGTGCCATTGTACGCTCGCACTCCTGGCTGGACTCCTGCATTGTGGGCTGGCGCAGCACTGTCGGGCGCTGGGTGCGCATCGAGGGCATCACCGTGCTGGGCGAGGATGTTATCGTTAAGGACGAGCTGTACGTGAACGGCGGCCAGGTGCTGCCGCACAAGAGCATTGCGGCCAGCGTGCCCGAGCCCCAGATCATCATGTGAATCTGGAAGCAGTTGCTCCAATTAGTGTGGCCTATTGTATATATTATTAATTATTTCATTTTCGTATGCGACATTTGCCTTGTCTCTGTTTAAATGTTTCTAACGTTTAAGCCGAATGTTTGTCAATATTCTGAACACAAAAACAACAACAAAAAAACGACAACAACAACAAAAAAACAAAAACATTTCCATAAATTAGCCTGGCTAAAATATAGTCTTAAGGACTTTGAAGCTGAGAGAAGGATCAAAAAGAAAAGAAAAAAAACCAGTTGAGTTAGCGGCATTTTGACCAAAAAAAAAAACTTGTTCACTAAACGAAGCATAAGTTTTTTTTATAATAATCTAAATTGTAGTCAAATATATATGTATTATTAATATAAAAAAAACAGTCTATTATTATTATTATTATCATCGTCAATATTATTATTAATATCATCATAATCATCATTTTTTATTATTATTATTATCATTATCATTATTATTATTATTATTAAATGTGAGTATATCAAGATAATTATTTACCGCTTGGGATCATCTACATATATAGGAGTGGACCGACAAGCGTGAGGTTGCTGGTTCAAATCCAGCGGTATTCTGTTTGTATATTAGCTTTTTTTTGACAAAAATAATCAATATTAATCAATTAAAAATCAAAATAAAGTAATGCTAAATGAATGAAATAAAAAACATTTTAGTTAAAAATATTCTTGATTTAATATTCTTTAACTTAGAGTTGACTTTATATATATATATAGATTGGGAGAGGTACCTAAAGTCAACTGTGTTAAGTTCAAAGGTTGCCTAGCAACATATGCCAGGTGCGCAAAGCACAACAAATACCTGAGATTCGCTGTGGCAAAATGTTGAAAACTCTGAGCAAAACGGATGCACTGCCGCAGAGTCTGCTCTGGGAGGATAAGGAGGTCAAATTTGATACCCCACAACTGTGAGTTGGGCGCAATTTAATCAATCAATCATCAATGCTTACTCGCAACTACTTTTACAGACAAACGCGTCTTCGCAGCGGCGAGAAAATATTGGATACGATTTACCATATAGAGGACAGCAAGGGCAATCCTGGCGATACGGGCCGACTGCTGGTGACCAATCTGCGCATCATTTGGCACTCGCTGGTCCACAAGAAGTTCAATTTGTGTAGGTTTCTCAAGGCAGCCCAGCTGTGACAGATTGACAGACTGATTGACTGACTGATTGCTTGATGATGTAGGCACAGCCCAAACCGCAAGAGCTGGGGGTGGAAACGTGTCTTATGCTTTTCCAAAATGGATGCCTGCTGGATTTGAACCGGCGACCTCACTTTTCCGGCTTTATTTATTGCAAGCTGTGACTGATTGACCGACTGACTGACTGATTGATAATGAGAGCACAGACCAAGTCGCAAGAGCTGGGGGTGGAAATTGATTCGAAATTGATGCCCGCTGCAAATGCAGAACCAGCAACTTCACATTTTTCTGCCCGACGCTTTTACGCTCGTGACTTCATTTGAATTTTCCAAAATCCTATTCACTGCCTGTCCCAGAGGAAGCTTTACATTTCTTTCTAGCTCTTACGGTTTTCGCTGTGTGCTAAACACCAAGCCGAAAAGGAGGCTCTGTTGGATATATATATAACCTATTGATTACTCAATCCATAGCCATAGGCTATGCTCGCATAGGCACCACCAACACGCGCCTGGTGCACATGCACACCAAGGGCCGCATACCCAGCCAGGCGCTGTACATTCTGGCCATAAGGAACGAGACGCGATTTGAGTTTTTGTTCACGGACGTCTCCGGCGAGACGGCGCGTAGGGATCAGCCGATCTTTGCCAGCGTTTTCGATGTGCATCAGTGCGTCAAGCGAGGGACTTAGCAAACGTTTCCACACTCAATTCTTGTTTATTCCACAGCTTGTATCAGCGCACGTTCCTCTACAGGGATCTAAAGCTGCGCGGCGCCATTGTTCAGGCCGGTCAGCTGATTATAATGCCGGATGAGCAGGTGTACAGCCAGGTGCAGGGCGTCTGGAATTTGTCCAGCGACCAGGGCAATCTGGGCAGCTTTGTGGTGACCAATATCCGACTGGTCTGGTTTGCGGATGCAAATGAGACCTTTAATCTAAGCCTGCCCTATCTGCAGATCGAGGCCGTGAGTCCTGTGCTCAGCACTTAATCGAGCGACATCTTTTATGTTGGAGCTCTTTCAGCTGCGCATACGCGAGTCCAAGTATGGCCCGGCGCTGGTCATCCAAACGGCTGAGACGGCCGGCGGCTATGTGTTGGGCTTTCGCATCGATCCGGTCGAGCGTTTGAATGGGCTCTTCAAGGAGCTGGGCTCCCTGCACACCATCTATACGGAGCAGCCGAACTTTGGCGTTCACTACGATCCGCTGGACGCGCGCAAGCGCCAGGCTGCCGCCGCCGAGGAAGCTGCCCAGGCGACACAATTCAAAATCGAGGAATATCAGGAGCTGGACGAGCGTCAGGAGCGCGAAATAAATACCAAGCTGAACAGCTATCTCGCCGCGGGCTCCCTGGCCGGCACGGAGCATGTGACGACGGAGCCCATCTATTGCAAGGAGCTGGGCTTTGCCATGGAACGCATACCCGAGGGCTACAAGCTGCAGGATTTGTGGAATGTGATGCCCACAAAGATGGCAACGCTCGACGAGTGAGATTCGGAATAAACCAGTTTTAAAGCTGGAATTTCCAAATTCATTTACAAGTTTCAGACTATGTTTAGGACATTTATTCTTGATTAACTCAGGGGCTTAAAGTCGGATCCTTATGAACAGACTCTGCCTTTAAAAATGTGTTGTTTTTTTTTTTACAATTTCAGGGCGAGGTATACACAACGTGAAACATTTATAAATTTGCGTTTAGTCTATGAGAGAGCACACAACAAGTTTGATGTGTTTAGCTCTTATAATCTTCGAGCTTTGCTTAAAAAACCATGTCTTATAAACGATATTTATCGATCATTTCAAAATCGAAAAGTATATCGAAAAAGTTATAACTCTCACTGATGTTCTTGAATATATGTAATGAATTTCAAGTCAATAGCATTTGAGCTTTCAGAGTCGGCTCGCTAACCTGATCAGGAATATATATATACTTTATGGGCTTGGAGCTGCTTCTCTCCGCCTGTTACACGCATTTAAACAAAACCCTTTAAGCTCAGGCCACAAGAATACATATTAGATTGAGTTTAAACTAAACTTCTCAGTTTTCTCGATTTTCAAAATAGAAATATCCACCTACTTTATATACATTTATAATTTTAGATGGTTTTTATTGACGCATACAACTCGCTGTGTGTTTTAAGTAGTTTAGCTCTAGTATGTGCGTTGTTCTTTATCGTATTATCCATAGACCGATATTTTGTAGTTTTTTTTTTTCTTTCTTTGGAATCAATCAAAACTTTGTCATTAAGGTTAATACATGGTTTGTCAGTTTAGCTGTTTGCCCGATTCGTTGGTATCTGAGTGCTTAGAAATTATTTAATTGTATTTTAATTGTAGTACTTATTTTTTTTGTTTTGTTTTGTTTGGGAGAGAGTTGTTTTATTTAAAGCAAAACACGAATTTTGCTGTCTTTTAGCTTTCTTTTGTTCTCTTTTCTTTTTTATAAATTAATTCATATCACAACACACAGTTGATTTTACCAGCATGCACTATAATCAATATTTGTATATATATACTATATAGTTTATGTATATGTATATATATAGATTTGTTTTTATTATTTATATGCAAATGAATTGTTTTATTTGTATTCTAAGCTATAAATTCAAACAAACTTAGTTAATTGTACGAAAATTAAAATTAGTTGTGGCGTTTTTCACTGCATGTCGGTGTTTTTTTTTGTTTTTGTTTTTTGTTTTTTTTTGGCCTCAAAGGCAGTCTGAAAAGAAAGTTGTTAAGAGCCTAACAAAAATTAGATATCGCCGTATAAACAATATATGTAGCTATGTATTTAAAACAAAATATCAGGAATGGCTTAAATTACGATTTCTATTATTTACTCGTTTTTTTTTTTTACATTTTTCTTAACTTGTTTTGCTTTTAGTTTTTACTACCTTTTAATACTTGTTGCTTACTTTTTAAGTTTTGTTTTTTTTTTTTTTTAATTCTTAAAGGTTTTTTTTTATCTTCTTTTTTTGTTTTTTTTTTTTGTGTATCAGTTGCCCTTAAATGAGTGGTTTTTCTTTGTAATATTCGTTTAGTTTTTCATCAGTCTTGAAGACCAGTTTATATTATTATTATTAAATATATATATATTATATTATTTTAAGACATATTTAGTTGAAGCAAGTGAAGTGGCCTCGGCAACTTTGCCTGACCAAAGTAAACAAAAATGTACAAAAATTATAAAAATAAAATATGATAAATTTAAAGCTAAATTAACAATTAGATATCAGACGCGACAAAGAAGACAAATAGGGTAAACGACTAAAGAATAAACAAATTGGTCTCGGCCGTAAACTATAAACAAATGCAAATGCGCAGCTCTGGTTTCTGCTGTTTAGGGGTTGGGTACGAATAGCTCTTATGATAAACATTTGCTTTGAGTCTTGGGGTTTGCCTGTCATTATTGTTGTTGTTATTATTATTGTTGTTGTTGTTGCCATTTGGCGCTTCACTTGCTTCGGTTCGGTTGACGCAAACGGAAAACAATGGAAACGCGTCGCTTAGAATTAAACAGTAACTAGAACCAAAGACTTAGGATTTGTGTTTGTGTTTGTTTGTTTTCTATGTTACACAGCAGTTTTGAGCATTGGATTACAAAACAAGCCTTGATGGCGTTCCAATGGCCAAACGTGCACATAGACAGAGAGATAGGTATATGGGTAGGGTTTGCTGCTTAGTTGCTGCTGTTGGAGATCTGTAGACGCGCTCGCTGGCGTGTCATGGGCGGCGAGTGGCGCATTGGCGATATGGAATTGACCCTGGCGGCAGTGCGTTGCTTCCGCTTGGGCGCTGCAGCTGCAGCTGTAACAGACGCTGCGGTAGCAGTGCCGGTTGCCTTGGTTGCTGAAGTTGTTCCGGCTGCTGCTGCTGCTGCGGATCCTGTTTTGCGACGTCTTTTGGCCGTTAGCAGCGGTGCACGGCGTCGACGCTTTGCGGCCGCTGCCTTTGGCTTGGCTGTGGCTGTGGCTGTGCCTGTGACTGTGACTTCGACTGAGCCAGTGCCTGAGGTTAGTGTGTTGCTGCTGTCCTTGGTGTGGCCCTGCGGCTGAGTGGGCTCGTGTGGCACAAAAGCGGAAGCGGTGGCATGTTGTGGCAATGTCAGTGTGCTGCAAGAGCGATAGATCGCCGCTATGCTTAGAGCTGGAGTGCTTTAATCAGAAACAGAGACAGCTTACCTGAGCTTTGGTTTAAGTGGCTGCTCCTGGTCCTTGTGTGCTGGCTCCTCTTCGTACTCCTCGTCGTCGGTGTCATCGTCATCGGCATCGCTGTACACATTTGCAGCGGGCGGCATAAATTTGGGTCGCTTCAGTTCAAAGCCACGTGCTTTGTTGCTAAAAAGAGCAGACATTGTTAAGGCTGAGGCTGAAATTGAGGGAATGCTTACATTTTAATGGGTGTTATGGGCATGGGCCTTATGGGCTTGAATAGACACAGATCCATGAGTAAGCTGTCTGTGCTGGCATTACGTTTGCGCGCCGTTGCCGAGCGATGCAGCATGGAGGGCGCCACCGTAAACTGCCGCAAATAGGCAGCCGTGGGCGCCACATATGGCTGGCTGAGCACAAGCTGGCGATTGCTGCTGCTACTGCTGCTGGCGCTGGAGCTGGAGGTGGTGCCCGAGCCAGAGCCAGAGCCGGAGCTGGAAACGGTAACGGAGCTCATGATGCCGCCGGCGCCGATCAGCTTGCGTTTAAGGCTATGGCTATGACTGTGACTGCTGCCTCCCTCTATTGCCGGCGGTGCTAAAACTGGCGTCGAGGCATTCATGACCAGCGCCTTTTGCACCGTGTCCTTGATGAATTCGGTGCCGCGATGCAGGCGCACTGAGAGCGTTTTCATCAGCGCACAGGCCGCATTGCTGGCTATGCTGCTGGCGGTTGTGGGACGTGCCGCCAGCGTGCCCGCTGCTCCAATTGTTTGGGTGGGTGTGCTCGTGCCTGCGTTGACATTGTTGTTGTTGTTGCTGCTGCTGCTATTGTTGTTGTTGTTGTTGTTATTGTTAATCTTACGCGACGCGCTCGAGTCGTAGGTATAGGGCGCTGGTTGCCCGGCTGCCGCCAGCAACATTCTTATTGCTGGTAAATGCAGCTGGCCACTGCTCCTGCTGCTGTTCCGCCTGCTCCCACTCCTGCCCCCACTAGTTGTTGTTGCTCCGTCAGCTGCTGCTTTGCTGGCGACTTTAACATGCCCGGCGTTTGATTTTCCTTTGTCTCACGCACAATTATTTCATCAAATTATTTCAACATTTTTTTGTTTTTGTTTCTGTTTTTTTTTTTGTTTTTTGTTTTTACCTATTTGCACTTGTGTCTGTGTATTTTTTGTGTTCGTCGCGCTTCTTCTTCTTTTCAGTTTTGCCAGTTTCGGCTTGCACGCTGTTTCGTACAACTACACACTACTACAAATTTATTCAACATACTCCTACTACTACTTTGCCTTCCATTGTGGCTGCTTTTTTTTTTGCTTGGCATTTACCGGTCGCAATTTTATCACTATTCTATGCACAATCGCTTTGTGGTCTTTCCGTTGTTGTCAATTTTGCTTTCACATCACTGTTTGCACTTTGTTTAATGTTAATTGCATTTGTTTTGTTGCCGTTTTTTGCCAGAAACGAAGAAATTTTTACGTTTTGCTATGTTTTACACCTCACTACTGCATGTTCATTCATCAGCAGCTGTAGTCTCTGGCTGTATTCACCACACTGAACTGATGGCTTGAGAGCTCAACAGTTGCGCCGCAGAGGACTTCGAGCGCTGCGCAATGAATATTCTGTGCTTCAATAATGTAGCAGACCGATTGGTGTTTCTTAAACAAGAAATTCACTCTTGTTTTACCTTATTTTGTTATTTTGTTAATGCGTGTATTTAAAATTTGACAAACATCTCCAGAAAATATTTAATTTCATTATACAGTGTGTACACACTGGCATCTGAATTCCAATATTCCCTCAACCTGGGTCGCCAGTTCTTCTTTCTAATATCAATTTATCAGTTTTATATAATGTTGATCAATTTTATCATTAATAGTGCATAGTAAATGACGTACATTTTTTTGTGTGCTTTAATTGCTTGGTTGCCTGTTCATTACGCGGTTTTTATTTTGAGCACAATGAGTGTGACCAAATGTAGGGAACACAAATTGGACATGCTTAATTTTATTTCAACTAGGTGGCAGCACTGACACATAGCTACGCAACGGCACATTAGATTTAAAATTGTAATTTTCGAGAAAATTATTTGATGCAAGTAAACCAAATACTTTGATAGAGACTAATATGTTTGTGGCCATTTTAGCTGCTTTTACTCCATATTTTCTTTGACTTGCCGCCGTCTGCTGTGCTGTTCAATAAACATTAAACTTCATTTGAAATAAAAATAATTGCAGCTACTGTGCGCTGGCGCAAAAGCCAATCTTAAATCATAGATCGCGCATCGGTATCAAGTTTATTACGGCTAAATAATTGCCAAAGCGCATGCGGTGCACAATTTACGAGTACGCGAAGTCACGCTTCGGACTGGTTCCTCTGGATACCACCTAGGGATGCGCTGCAGCAGCCGCTGCTGCTGCTGCTGTGACAGAAGTGTTTTTTGGCATGTCAAATGGCCGTTGAGCTGCACCCGTTTCGCCGCCCTCTCAGCCATTGAGTGGCCTTTAATAACATTATGAAAACGCGTGTTTTACAGCTCATCAGAGTCGAAACGTTGCCGCATTGCTTGCATTTTTTCGTGCACTCTTTTTGGCCCGTCCGTCTGTCCCCGCCGGTCCTTCTGTCCTTCTGTCCGTCTGCCAGTTAAGAGTCAAGTCCTCGCACCGCTGGAGGTCGCTTGGGGGTCGTCGTCATCGTCGACAGCGGCGCCCTCCCATTGCGGCACCATGCAGCCACGCGCGTCGCCTTCTGCGCAACCGCAGCCACCGCAGCCACAAAAGCCAGAAGCAGCTACACACACATACACACCCATAGACGTGCACATGTATGTGTGCATCTGTGTATACATGCATATATAAAGCTGGCAAGGCGTTGGCTGTGCCCGCGCAGGCTATAATTTTCCAATATGCAAATGTGTTGTGTGCGTTGCCTCAAAATGGCGCAGCGGATGCCGAACGCACGTGGGACGCAGCCACAAGGCAAACGCAAAGACGCGAATCGATTGCAAACGACTCTAAAATACCCTGTAGAAAACCAAACCGATTTGAAGTAGCTAGCAGAGTAAAAAAAATAACAATATTCAATTTT